CATTATCAGTACACAAAAATTTTTAATGTCAAGTATAGAAATACAATATTACAACACATAAAAACCATTCAATTAAAAAAAAATGAAAATGTAATACTATATTATATTAAATTTAGTTCATTTCTATTTAGTTCTGTCGACTGCTTTAGAAATACTGAAAATTATTGTTTAAAAATTGCCAGATCGATGTTGCGAGGTTTCAATATGAAAAATACGATCATATTAAGATTTTTTAAAGTGTATAGAAAATAGGTTTACAGTAATATTTTAATTGTGAAGCCTTATTATCTCTTATAAGCGCGACGGTTGACTGGTATCGAAAGCCATCAGAAATGAAGTCCATCCTGTATACAATTTGGTGCGCAAAGGATATATAAACAACTAAATAACGAACCCTGATTCATTGTTATCAATGCAGTCAGTTTAGTAGATAATGCAGACCATACACAAGCACAGTTGGCTCCATCGCATCTGTCGGTGCATTGCCCCACTTCCATCTAAATTAACACGGGCAAATCTGAACGTAATATGCTTCATCCGCTGTGTAGAGTTAGCAGATACAGCGCGTGATCAGTTTGATGAAGCGATAATGGAGAACTGCGATCGACACATCCTGTGTTCATGAACTGCCTCACAGTTATAGCCCCAAGACTTTAAATAATAATACTTCTTTTTTGTTCGTTCTTCTTGTGATGAGACAGCTTTCCGAATGAGTGGTAGATTAAAAAAAAATAAGTGTGAGATTATGAGAAAAGTAAGTAAATGTAAGTTTATTTTAATAAAGAAAGTTCTATTATACTCTGAGTAAAAAAAGATATGCTAAGTTAGTGCCAAGCTATTTAATAATAATATTTATTTGTTATATGTATGTTAACAAATTAAGTACTTGAACTTCCAAAAAATATTTGTAGGATAGTTACTTACTACAGAGCCCTCTCTTTTTCTCTTTAGCTTTAGTTCTGATATCAGAGATATTCAGTGGATGACTAGTACTAAATACAATTTATTTTGTTTTGAATTTGTTGCTCTAAAATAATACCAAATATAAACATACAAAACTTCTATCTTATTCCGATGCATTTAATAATCACATTGTTTTTATTTTTTACATACGTAACGTATATTTAGACAGTGTATAAATTAGCGAATTAATAGTATTATATCACTATCATTTTCTGTGAATAGAATATTATATTTACTGTAAAGATTACTCCTGACACTATACCGCAGAAAAATACATTATTTATCTATGCATAAATATCTACTGACTTTGAGTGACGTTACCACATACGAGTAATTTGAAGAATAATATTAAACACGAAAAATCTGGATCTAACGCGTCAAATTTCGCGTGATTGTATTTCTTATTCATAACATATTTTGTTTATTAAGATAGGCACGTGTAAGAGTTATAAAACCGTTTCATTTTAATATCAATGTGAGATAAATATTATTTTCATTTCATTTTAACCCAAAACTTAACTTACAATTTCAGATTTATGAAGAAACATGTCACACAGATTATTTATTTCAAATGTTATGTTTAATAAACATACATTATTAGCTTTGCTATTATATATTCTTTCTGTATTTAAAATTATATACCATTATTGTGTAATTAATACTTTAGTGCCAATGGCCTTGGTAATTTTAATTTTAATTCTCAACACTTGTGAAAATTATAATTGTTGCACGACCTTTATTATATTTTTTTATAAATACATTTTAAATATTTAAATTTTTTTTGTTCCTTTTTTATTGTCAATTGAAATATATATATATATATATATATATATATACCTTCAGTGAGCGTAGTTTCTCTTAATACTAAAATTAAAATATAATAGTTCTTAAGAAACCTTAGTAATTAAAAATAATATTTCTACCTATTAATAGATACGTCGGTAAATTAATGTCTCTTCTTAACTCCACCTGTCGATCATCATCACTGTATAGCTAAGCACTAGGTATATTGCGTAATTTTTTTATGTACTACAAACAATCTGATGGCCCACCTAATGGTAAGATAAGGTTAGTCTATGTAATACATGGATCACATCATGTTATCATGTGATGCCCGTGATACCACTCATGCTATTCCAGACGACTAAGATGTTATATCTTTTTATAATTTTATAGACTAATTTACACGTTATATGAAATACAGCTTACAAAACAAGATGCTTGGCAGATCAAATAGATGAGACTGTGTCATTACTGAACAAATAATCACTAAATTGTGATATGAATTTTTTTTCCGACTATACTCAGCAGTATGTGGTAGATTTTCTGATTGTAATATCTATTTTATTACACTAACGTGGTCGAAGCTCGAGTCCAATAATACATTATTTGTACTATTCCATTGTTTTGAAGCTACGTATATGGCTACTGAATAATTCCAGGTGGATTCGTATTCATTCTGTCTATAATGTTGCATTATGTATGGTCGAGCATCAGTGGAAGATGATAAGACGAGAATGAAATCAGCTCAGTTAGCCTTTTGTAGTTAGTAGAAATAAACCTAATAGATTTTCAATCACTATTTACCCATTACCAGGTAAATAATGGCTAACATAATTTGAATTTGGAAGTAAAAATCTTTTTAAAATTAAAAGTAGTCAAATGAACTCCTTAAATTTTAGCATTTCATTTATTAAAACATGCATATTGCATAGGTACATAAATGTTACATACGTTAATTAATATAAGTACATAAATATTATATATTCATTAATAATAATATGTATATGGCTACTGAATAATTCCAGGAGGATTCGTATTCATTCTGTTTATAATGTTGCATTATGTATGGTCGAGCATCAGTAGAAGATAAGACGAGAATGACCTCAGCTCAGTTAGCCCTTTGTAGTTAGTAGAAATAAACCTAATAGATTTTCAATCACTATTTACCTATTACCAGGTAAATAATGGCTAACATAATTTGAATTTGGAAGTAAAAATCTTTTTAAAATTAAAAGTAGTCAAATGAACTCCTTAAATTTTAGCTTTTCATTTATTACACGCATATTGCTTAGGTACATAAATGTTACATAGGTTAATTAGTATAAGTACATAAATATTATACATTCATTAATAATAATCTTTATCGGACAATAGTGTGTACATATATCATACAAACCTGACAATAAAATTGTGTTCAAAATAGCATAGTGGATACATTACACGTTTAAATGACGTAGCCTCCGGCCAAACGCGGTCCATGGCAGATTTACCTAGATGAATGACGACAAATGATATCATTCTAATTCAGCAAGTTTATCATTAGTTAGAGTGCGTGCGTCCCAACTGAGTGATTAGTTTGAATCATGCAAATATTTCACGGGAACTAATTGAAATGCAAAATTAATTCGTTACACATATCTGTGTGAAAATTCACAGAGCGCGTAAATTCAATGTAAATGCATTTACGTAATAATTCTGTTACAATCCCGCGAGGACATTTATTTCACGCTGTTTCGTGTATATATTTTATATGCCATATGAAAAAGTCTACAATAATTACTCCCGTTAGAAGTTAGGGCGCGTGCTAGTGTGTAATATTTTAAAGGCTTTGTTAACATCAAATGGTATCAGGTTAAAGTGTCGTCTTCCAATTGAGGCGTAATTAAGTCTCAGGGGTGCTCCGAACATTCTAGAATATCATAATTGTAGGGAAAATTATAATGTAGTTCTGTTTCAGTGAGCGTAGTAATATTTCATACTTGCACCCGTAAATTTGTCTGTTTCTTTGACATTATACATATAGTTTATATAATTCCTTGGGATATAATCTAATCTCTCCCTCGTTGTCTAAATTCATTGAAATCCGTTCAACAATTTAATCGCTAAGTGGTAATAAACCAAAAGATACATTATAGAATTTGTAATATTAATATGGTTAATAAAAATTAAAGAACCTAATGTCAATATTTTCCAGTGATATTAGTAGAGAAGTTATTGACTCATATGATCAGAAATATTCTGCATTGTCTTTTAGAGTAGTATCTATAACCAATGTTAATAGGTTAGATATGTTGACTATGAATAAAAAAAGACTTATATGTAAGGATACAAACCTTTAGCACACAATAGTCTCTATCTACTCTTTGTGAAAGCTGGCTTAAAGATTTAATTATGTGGAATTGCAAAAAATCGGCTCTCCAGATGGCATTTGACAGCTATTGCTTATATGAACGGATGTGATATACGGATGGTAAGATACGCATATCACGTATATAGACATTGTACAAAATCCTCCTTGATAAAAATAATCACAACACTAAATATGAAATACGTTATAAAGAGTAGATTATATTAAAACATTTTTATCAAATTTGTTTTCTATATATCTCAAAAAAGTAAAGTAAAATAAAATCTTCTAAAATTAAGTGACTTTTCTAGTCGCCTGTTCATTCTCTGTTGGTAAATAAATAATAAAATTAGGCGGGTAAGTTCTAATGTTGGATTAATTCTCATTACCGTAGTAATATAATTGTCATTAGGCGGTTAAGTGAATTATTCATACACAGCGACTTGTGACGTATTATACTATTATATATTGTGTTATATTTATTTTATATTAAATACTAGCCGTACCCGCGACTTAGTCCGCGTCGAATTTAACTTTATTTTTCTATAATAAAAGTAGTTTAAGTTACTCCTTAGTACATAAGCTACCTGCCAAAAAAAGTCCGGTTAAAATCGCAACAACCATTTCAGAGATTAGCCGGAACAAACATACATACAGATAGACAAACATTATAAAAAATGTTATTTTGGTGTATGTACCGTAATTATGTTCATATGCAGGTAGTAAAAATCGGTTATTTCGATATTACAAACAGACACTCCAATTTTATTTATATGTATAGATAGCATCATATTTAATAGAGAACAATGTAATGTGTTATGTAATTATGTATTTTGTATGTAATGTATGTATTAAGGTTTTGTGCGGCTTGTTAGTTATCAATAAAAATTAAAAAAAACATAGGTACCTGAAAAAGTCCGTAACTGGTATACGAGTTATTGTGGTTGGTGAGTTTTTCTGTTGTCCTGCCGCTCGAATGCTCAATAAGGCACACCCCTGGAATATAATTATTGACTATAGTAATTATATAACTAGAAAACTAAAACATATATATTTATATTCAACATGTAAATATATATTTAATAGTTTTAACAGTTTTTTCACTGACTGCATACACTCGAACAATAACCAATACGTATATAACATTGTATCCGTGGACAATTCACAGAGCGCCATCTAGCCCCAAGCTAGGCAGACCATGTTATGGATATTAGACAAGTAATACAAATACATAAATACTATTTTTTTGTAAATACATACAAAACATACATAGAAAACACATATCGATACAAACAATCATACGCATGTTGGTGCCGTGTGAGGAATCGAACCCGCGAGCATCGGAAGTAAAGTGGTGTGCTAAATCGCTAGACCACCTACGTCGCCAATAATTATCGGGGTCTGATAAATAATATTATCAGCTGTAAGTGAAAACTGGCTTTATTGTTCATCAAGCCAACCCCATATTTTATTATTCTTATACACAAGTAGCCACAGGTTATTTATATTTGCCCACATTATATAAATGAAATATTTACACATATTCAAGCCACATTTGATTGAGATATCTCAACTTTGAAATAGGAATATCGTTAGCATATCAAGCTAATTGGCTGTAAAATAAATGATTGATATACTTAGGTAGAAATGGCTTTTTAGATAGTTGGTGTTAAAGCAGTAGAAAATCTTATATTCTAATAAGGGGACGATGAAACGGTGAGAAAAATAAGGAATTGATGTAAAATTCTTTGTTTTGCTAATCATTTTAAAATTCGATTCATTCATCTGGTCACGAAATACACAATTTTGCAAATAATTATTTTATTTTTGGGAACACAAAGATATTTAACTACTTTTTTATTTTATGGGTATTTATAAAATAACATTCTATGCCAAGGACTAAATATAAATACAGAAATAATATTCCAAATTTAAATTGATTGTATCTGATACGAAATTAATTTAGTTACTGGAATAAGGGAATAATAATAATAATAATGAAATAGGTTGTGGATTAAACATTATTATTTTCTTAAAATAAAAGTCACGTACAATCTGTACCGTTTTTGAGGTAACGCGTTAAAACATGCTAAAATCATGAGCAAAAAATACGTAACCATATTTTAATTTTGTTATTTACTGTTTGTCAAAATGCAAATCCACCGGAATCTGTTGAAACGCGCGGTTGTTTTAAAAAGTAGCTGTATAACTGGCCAGTTGTTTTACGAAATTAAATTCGTCCATTTGAAATTCTTAATTCAAATAATAACATTAAGGAGCCGCGGAAACCGACGAAAAGCAAATGAATTGCTTGCCGCGACCTTAATAAGCATTCACGTCAGGGTTGCCAACTGTTTGAGAATCCTTGTACAGGTACGAGATTCTTAATCTTCTGTACGAGGTGACATCACTATCTTCGTACACATACTTCGTACTTTCGACCTTTGGAAAAATATGATTATAAACTTTCACTAGCTGGATGAATCTAAGATCACTTACGTTATCCCAAATTAAGTAAAAATGTATGGTTACAATGTATCTACATAGAAAATATAAATATATTTTTTTATCAAGTTGTAGGTTTCGTGTATCTAATATAGATATTTGTCTTTATAATTAAGAACCTAAACTGTAATAATATGGAATAACTACTACTACATATATTTATTCTATGACACAGGAGGTGGGAGAACTACTGTCCAAGGTTTATTTAAGATCCTTTATACAAGGAAACAAGTATAAAGGTTGGCAACCCTGAATTCACGGTGAACTTCACTGGGAGAATCTCCTATTTGCATAAAAAGGGACATCGCTCAGATGACAAAACATTTTCAGATCCCCTTTCATTTAAGTTTAAAATTGTTAGAGCCGCTTCTAATTGACACTGTATAAGGCGAGGTCGTGTTTTAATCTGAATTAATTCAAATTAATACAACTTCGACTAAATCGTAACTTTTTACCTTTCACTAATCGTTTATGAAATTTTATACATTCTTTTTTGCACTTTGAATACATTATTTAAGTTAGTTATATAATATTAATGAGGGCTTATCTCTAAAAGAGATCTCTTCCAGTCAACCGAATATAGTGTGGCACTGGAAGTGTCGAGTAGATAAAAATTGTGCATATAACCATTTTAAATGTTACAAAGAAACAACAAATAATTAAAAAACAATTTAGATGTAATGTCTAAAGTGGCATTATATTTTAAAATGACTCAATTATTCTCTTCTTCACAAAAACGTCAAACGTCTAATAAAGTTTTCATATTATTATTGAATTTTCTATAATTTTCTGTCTTTTCTTTCGTGTTATATTCTACAATTAAATGAAACTGTTAAAACATTATAATGAATAATATGGATTTGTAAATTAGAGGTTTTAGTTTTTATGAATGGTTGTAGTATATACAACTAATTAGAATCTTATTACTTTCAAGAAACAACTTCAGATTATAAAATTCTTTATACTTTAACCATTCACTTTTTTTTTTAATAATATTACGTTATTCATCTTCAATGTTTCAGAAATATAGTTTATTACCATTATTTTAATACACATATTTTCACAGTTCTTTGAAAGATACCAATCTGAAATATAATTGGACATTAAACCCGCAAACTGCATGTTCTTATTTCCTATTAACTTCAGGAACAATATGAAATAAAAAATAATAAAAAGTAATGCATATTATGTATAGTATATATATTGGACTGCGTACATTGACAGACATGGTTAATGCAGGCCTTTGATAGTCGCAATAGATAACTGTATCACAGTATACAGGGGAGGAATATCGCAAGTGTATCTCCGAGACATGAGGTAGGCGTGTCTGTGTCAGTCGCCTTGTTGCGTTTGATGTACATTGTGCCATCTTATGAGGATGTACAGTCAGGACAGCAAATGAAGTATCGTATTATATATAGTATATATATACATATATGTTGTTACCACGATACTACATTTACATATATATACTAGCTTAACAAATTTGAACATGTGTTTCTATTTTTGTATGTACATAGCATAAACTTTGCATCATACAAAAAAGAGAAAAATTACACCGAAACATTTATAAATACATTTATATAACTACAATAAGGCGGCTTTATAACTAATATCCAAAATTATTTGAGCTGGTATAAAGAGCTAACAAGTTTAAAGGTTGGCAACCCTGAATTCAATCAAAACAATGAAACTAAATTTATATATGTTCTATATGACTTTATCTTTAATACTATAAGAATGCTCTAGTAGTACCTAGTAATTAATACCTAACTTGTATGTGTAGGTATAATGTAATTATTAATGTATTTATTATTATGAGTTTATAATAATGTAATTGTTTGGCTGTAAGGGAATTTGCAGGGCCGTAAACTACTTAATAAAAAAAATATTATTTCAAATACCACGGAAATTAAATTGAGTGTAGTATTGGTATATATGTAGTAAATTAATAAAATATTATTTACATAATAATAAGAAATATCTATGTGAAATTGAAGATTACTTTTCTACCTTAATGTACAGATTTCAGATATTAAATTGATAAGCAGTATATTGATTAAAGTAGCGTGACGTTTTGAATTTGTGCAGTGTAGTTGTGCCTAAAGGCCTGTCATCAATACAATTTAGAACCCTATTCAAATCTCAATTCGATCCACGCCGCTCTATTCTAGAAACCCCAACGGATCGACATTTAAATATGTCGACGTCAGCAATTAAATATACTTCATTATGTTATGGTCATTAATCGATAATGAATTGGTATTGTACGTTACAAATGAATGTTAGAAAACTAATTAAGATTGAAACTTTATTTAAAAGCTCATGAATGAGTATAAGTATAAACTGCGTGACATGACACATTACACAATCTATATTAAAAATAGTGGATTTGCTTGTTGCTTATTCGGTATTGGATTTACTAATAACTGACAGTCCGCTCGCTTTGAATGTGTACATGCTTGCTCTTGAATCACTCTATCTAATGGTGGAAATTGCATTAAAATCCATTGCGTAGTTTAATAGCACATTGCAATATAAGTGCGTTATGATGGTTATGACACACATGATTTTAAATAAACCATAAAACTGTGATGTACACTGTTGCCTTTCTGCCGTTTTACTTTTTTAAATAAGCACGCTGCCTACTAGCTGGAGCCGCACGGCATTCAGTTCGTAACTTAATAAAACAAATAACAAATAGTTATGGAATATAACTTCACTATTGTGTTTATAAATGCTCCCGTATTTTATGAACTGCTTTATATATCTTAAAGCGGTGAAATTATATCCACTTTATGAGAAAGTATCTTAAAAAAATCTAAGCATACTGAGACCGGAAGCGACTATTACAATTAGTTGCTTTCAGTTAGGTATAACGGTTTATAGTATTTAAAAATAAATAATTTGTTCAATTCTAATTAACAATATGGATTACATGGACTATGATGATATTGATTGGAAAATAACTTTCAAACGTATAGATTACCGTTTGCTGTAAAACTACGTCCTCTTGAAATCGGTTGAAAAGAGAACCTAAGCGACATATATATACAGAACCATTACATGGCTGTATGTTAATTAATATAGCACTTGAGAGTGCTTATAATGTCTATATTATTCAAGCTACGAAAACCCGCAGGGAAATGAAATCTTCTTGCTTCACTGACTACGCCGATGCAACGTTAATGTATTAGTTACTAGTTGATTCCCGCGACATTGTTTCCATAGGTTTAGTAATTTGAGTAGTTAATGATTTTTATATTTAAGATTTGTTTTATTAATGTTAAATTATAAGTATAAAATACTTAACCGATTAAAAAAGTGACTTTACTTATATAATAGTGCATTACATTATTAGCGAGTAATGTATTTTATTAAAAACTAGCTGTACTTGCGACTTCGTGCGCGTGGATTTTTTTCTAAAATAAAAGTAGCCTAAATTACTTCTTATTACATCAACTGACTTGGTAGTCAGTCAAAAAAGTCCCGTCAAAATCGGTCCAGCCATTTCAGAGATTAGCCGGAAGAAACCGACAGATAGACAGACAGACAAAAATTGTAAAAAATGTTATTTTGGTGTATGTGCCGTATATTCATATGCAAGTAGCAAAAAACGATTATTTCAATATTACACACAGACACTCCAATTTTATTTATATGTATAGAAAAAGAAATTTACGTCTGAAATTAGTTTGAATCAAATTCTAACATAGAACCTACGTATTACGTATACATACATACATACATATTTTTATTATTCATCATTTTATTGCCATGATTGACTATGTACAGTCGTCTATGTGGATGCCCTTGTCTCACGTATTTCAGTCACCAAGCTGCTTGCTTTATAAGCTGTGTGTCGGAATGATGAGATATGGTAGTAAAATTACAGGGTACGAAAAAATTATTTCTTCTTTTCCTGATTTTAACATTGAGGTTAACATTACACATCAGATGAAGACGAGATATCCGTTGTTCCTGTAGGAGGTCTGGAGGCGTGATTACTCTCTTTTCTGGAATGGTAACACATGAAGTAAATATATGTATACCATGCATATAACGAGGATGTAATATCCGTCGTTCCTGTACTGACTTACCACTAGATGGAACTGTCAGCTTGTTTGTTTGCTATTTTAACTATATAAAAAAATAGTAGTATAATTTACTTACAGTTAGGTATTAGACTTCTGGGGAAATTGTACCGAAGGAGTTCCCTGGAGAGTTGGCAACGAGTAAAGGTGCGTGCATGAGCATTGCAGCTGTATACTAGAGCCACAGTTAGGAGTAGAACCAGTTCTGATGGTGGATGCATTCTATAAATGAGAAATTTTCAGTAAATAATATTATAAACTCATAAAGCAATTGCAAACACGACAGACATTGTCCTACCCGGAAAAGCAAAGCGATCGAGTACAATTGTGTTTTTAAACTATCCAGAAACCTATTAAAATATGTATGTCTAGGTAGACTAAATTCGAAATCGACCTTTTGCATCAAAAAACCAAGCTTTACAATTAACTTTATACAGAAATAAAGACATACAAAATTAGTATTGAATATATGAATTACCCTGTATAACAAATAAATATACTTTTTATCTATGTGCTTATATCAGTTATCTAGTACATATTATGTTATCTGTGCTAGTACCAATAATACAAGCTCTGCTTAACTTGGGACTAGATGGCGCTGTATAAATTGTGTATGGTATTATTAAATATGCCTCATAATGAAACGCACGATATACATTGAACCGGATTTTTATGAATTGTTATTACTCGTTTATGTATGGAGAATATTCTTGTGTAACTTATTCCTCGCCGTATTGTTTACGGAAATGCAATATTCTGTATTAGAATGAAAATCTTCATACTTTTGTTATTATTTATGACGATAGTGTAACCATCATTATGTAAAATATATTCAATTCATATACCTATATTAAATATACATATGACACGTTACCTTTCGTGTGAGACTAGGCGACTAGTTGGTAGACTCCAGATATATAAATTTTACTGGACGAATTAAAATAAAAAGTCATCGTCATAGATTTTTATACCACAATAGTGACAAACAAGCAGACTGCCCATGTGATAGTAAATAGTTACCGTCGCTTGAAACAGGAGTATCACGTACGTTGCTGGCACTTCAGAAATTATGTTAAGTACTTAAATTCTTATAAAAAATACATTAAATTAATCTGACACAATCGAGCTAGATTATTTTTGTCGAGGCAATAGGCCCGGTATTTAATCGTAGTGGACAAGAAATATATTGAAGAAATGTATTGAATTGTATATTAAATGTCAAATTGAGGTAGATGTAATGAGTGATTGTATATACCTAAATTTTAAAGAATGTCAAATTATAATAACATATATCTTATACAAGTATAGGTGACGACTTTCGTGAATGACCTTGAGTGACCTTCGTGATGGTCATGACCTATACATGTATAATATTAATGAGACTATCCTTAGCACAGGCCAATATTTATCTACCCTAGCTGCTATGCATGCAACTGAAGTGTGCTCAAGAAAATTCATTTCACTTCAAAGAATCCGGCCGTCTAACCGGTATTCATTTATTCTCATCTTCCATTCCTTTTGATAAGTTTCACTTGGAATTATGAGCATTCTATTTTTGAATTTAAAAAAGAACATACACTAATTATTACTGGCACTTAAGTGAACAATATGATAATATGTTTTCTTTAGACTTAGTTCTGCCGCTTATGCGGTAAGAAGAATTAGACAATTAACAGACGTGGCAACGGCTAAACTTGTGTACTTTAGCTATTTCCATAGCATTATGTCGTATGGTATTTTGTTATGGGGCAAAGCAGCTGATATAAATACAATATTTATTTTACAAAAGAGGGCCATTCGCTCCATTTATAGCATGGGTTCCAGGGAGTCTTTGCGAGAGTGCTTTAAGGAATCAAATATCCTCACCGTTGCTTCTCAATATATTTATGAAAACATCATGTATGCCAGGAAGAATATAGACAGTTTCAAAAGAGTTAGTGATTGCACTAATAAAAGCTTACGTAACAATAACAAACTGATTTTACCTAAATGTCGTTTGGCTAAAGTTAGTAATTCGTTTTATGGCAATTGCGTAAGGTTTTACAATAAAATACCAGAGTCTGTTATAAATCTGCCAGAAAAAAGATTTAAATGTCGAATAAAACACTTCCTTTGCAAAAAAGCTTACTATAAAATTGAAGAATTCGTTAACGATAATAATGTTTTTGTAGAAAAATTTTAAATACATAGCACTGACAATATTATCTGATTACACTAATAATGAGTGCGTAGCGATTTCTATGTTGATTGTCGCATGCCTCTTACTTGTTACACTGTAATTATTTATATAAAAAAAACATCTATCAAAAAGAGCAACACACAAGTTTCTTGCTCATTCTTCTTGTGATGAATCTGCATTCCGAATGAGTGGTAGAATCAAAATATGACTATTCAAAAGTGCTTGTAATGAGTTTATTTGAATAAAGATTATTTCTATTTCTATTTAGACACTGAAAGGCAAGGAGTAAATAAACGATTCTCTGTGTCTCTGAAGAAGTGTGCACGTTACATTATCATTATTATCGTTGTATCGTAGTGCCCTTATGCTATTATTCGGCAGTATGTCATCAATATTTCATTAATGAATTATATACTAAACATATATTATTATTTAGTAGATTATAGAGCGCAATATAAATACTAACTAGTTGTTATCCATGATATTTCACCTTTTGTACACCCTATCACCTTTTAGATTTTTTATGTCTGTTTTAGAGGTATAATTTTCATGTTAAATGTTATTAAGATCCGTTCAGCAGTTTAGTTATGAAAAGATAATCAAACAGATTATTGTAGTACGTGAAAGCTCATATGAGTCTTGAAAAATTAATATAGAAACATGTAATTCCAGAATATTCTACAATGTTTAGGTAACTGTATTTAGAGTATGCGGAAACGATGTATAAGTTTAACAATATATTGTTTGAAAGTCCTTGCTTATTGTTTGTTATAACGGATAAAATGTAATTTAAGTTGTAAAACAATTTCAGTACTAGGTAGCTAATTAAATGTTTAATGCCCGTTGCTAAGTACAGTCTTCCGGTCAATTAAGTACTTTGCATTTTGAAAATTTTAGATGCTATATTTATAATATATCAAGCATCCAAACTAATGTTATAAATCTTGAAGTTTATCTGATTTATACCGTTTCACAACTAAACTGTTGAACGAATCTTAATGATATTTGAGGTAACGATAGATTGTATTATGAAAATGAACATTGGCTATCTATTAGTTTTTTTTTTAAATCTATTAGTTAGTAGTAAGTCGAGTGATAATTGGTATTGTATATAATAATTATTTATTAGTAATTTTGGTATTATCTTGTAACTAAATTGTAATAATAACAAAACTATATGTGTATATACAATACATAAATTTATTAATATAGATCTTGGGGGTTAGACCATGACCACTGATGATTATGGAATGGTGCAATTGCGTGCGCTAAAGGTTTACGCCGATGGGGTCCAGTGGAAGATGATAAGTTGAACATGAGGTCAGATCAGTTAGTCCATTCTGATTCACCAGAAACAAATCAATAGTTACCAGGCGAACCCATAGTACATTGCTAGCAATGGGGCATCAGTCCACATGACTAACAATACCATTTCCCCATAATTCGAATCTAGTTGCGTAAACGTAGTTGTGAGTCTATCTATATGTGGCTACTCAATCTGGTATTCAAATATGCATGTAGGTTTATCTTCCAATAATTTAGAGAGTAATAGAGGTATAGATTGTGTAGTGGCTCTAACCTACACTATACATATATCCATGTAGACCGACCCAACACAAATGCTAACGTTGCGGATTATAAGCGCAGTCAGAGCTTCGCCGCCACTAATTAATATGAGTTAAGCATTATACATCGTTCACATCGTTGTACGGCACGATGTAATTGCCTTATGATAGCATCATAGCTGTTCCTAGATTTTCCTGCGACATACTTTGCTTTTTCAAAGAAAATAAATAGCTTGTGTCAGTCCTCGTGATAGTACGATTTACTTTTACGACTCATTTAATTATAATCTTTGATCGCTTTAAGCGATAAGGCCTTTTGTTAGCATATATTTCTTTCTTTCTTTTTTGTAATTATTTGTTCTTTTTTTTATGCACAACAAATAGTTTTTATTATTAATATTAATCTTTTCAGCAACTGAGTCATAAAAGATAACAGATAAACATATCGACAACCGTAAGGTCATGTTTATAGTATTATTATGGAATTATTTAAATGTAATATCATCGGTTAATGTACTAACACTGATCTAATACTAAAATTTGTACGAAACATTGTACTCTGTACCATTCTAGTAATGTCTGTCCACCACTCTGGTGAACATGGAGGCAAGGGTCTCAGTATTCTTAATTCGAATTACTTACATTTCCTTTTTTATTTCACTACGAAGTGCAAAAAGTACCCAGTGTTATATGCTGGTTGTTTTGTAATAGATTGAATTTGATTTCGTCTCATCTCTACTTTTTTTTTTCAGTTTAATTTCGCATCTATTGAAGTGAAGTCAAAAACCCGAGTGCGAAATTGAAATAATTATAATATACATTATGTTATATATGTTAAACGGCTCTCCAGGTAATTTATATTATTTAAGACTTTTCATTTTGAGCGGGAAAAACTAGAACGCTTCTTGCATTCACTATTTCTTGTGCAGTCATACATGTCCACAAGATCTGTTTTTTTGCATTACTAACATTTATATAATGGATAAAAATACAAACTAAGTAATATATTTATTACTTAGTTCTCAATAAAAATATAAAATAGATAATTAATTATAAGTATTTAATAATTAAATTACGTTTTTAAAGATACATAAATCCGTTAATTATATGGTAATTATATATATACAGACTGTTTTTTAATGTATTTTGAAGATATAGTTGCGACAATTATAATATACGATAAACTTTCCTGTTATATTAGGCACACGTACACACAACAAGCGGATAAAATACGTATATTCGACTACCAACTTATAGTTAATAAAGTCAGGTGCTATTTTACAAAACTTCAGAACAAATGTGTGACGTGCAGAAGGAAGTCTGAACGTTAGAAACACGGAGTTACTTAGACGTATCTACCAATAAATATGACAACTAAAACTAGTTCATTAAATTAAATATTAAGTTATATACATATTTCATATCGCTTTTTTTACTATTATAATTTACACTTTTACTCTTTATGTTGAAGTCATCTTAGGGACATACGCTTGATTCTACTACCAAATCACTGGATGGTGATTCGGTCGGTATACAAATCTTAAATGTATATTGTATAGCTTTATTTATTCAACTAAAAGCCTCCTTATTTCAACGGTTACTTTTGTTAATAAAATCTTAATTTTAGATTATAATATTTTTGACAATAACTAAACAATATAGTACTTTGGCTTATATTTTAAGACATATTTCCGTCGTACTGGGGACTACAAAAACAATATGTATATATATATATATATATATATATTAGTATATTTTAGTCTTTACTAATGTTATAAAAGCGGAAGCTTGTTAGTGTGGATTGACTTTTTACTCTTTCACGTGAAACTACTGATTAGATTTTAATGAAACTTTACAATAATATAGCACAATAATATTTATCATGGATAAAACTGCGGGTACAGCTAGTATGGTATATATATCACGTACATACAGCGTTAAATAAATCTTAAAAGAGAAAAAGAGTCTTAGAAGTTTCGACACTTTTCTAACTCATTCTAGAATTAAATAAATAAAAAAATATATTAATGTTTTAATTTCTATAAAAATTGATATGAATAATAGTTGTTTTATTCTATTATTATTATAAAAAATAATGGTTTTATTACCTTTGGTATGGTATTTCCTACGGTGAGTTTGTTGCAACCACAACCTACGCCCCGAATGCGAGAACTGCACCGCTAACTGCCAATTATTCACTTAGTGGGATGCACGCATTAGTGTAGGAATACCTATTATTTGTGCTTGGTTAGGACAAATTCCATTTAAAAACATACCAAGTTAGACTTTATATAGGGATATGTCCATGAGTTTCTCTGTTTCACCTATTTCAGCGGAGCAGCTTCTTTTTTATACTACGAAACCGTACCTTTGGTGGCAAACAAGGGTACGGCCCATTTAATGGTAAATGGTTACTGTAGCCTATGGACGCCTGATACACCAGGGGTGTCACATGCGCGTTGTCGACCCTTAAAAAATATTAATATATACCCATCTTGAAACACTTCATTCTGTAGTCTCGTGAGAAAGCCTCGGCGGGAGGGAGCGCCTCTGAAACTGCACTGTCCGTGACCACTTAGGTTCTAGCGTGTAGGGATACTTCCTTTGTAAGTTGTATTTCGTTTGTAGAATCTAAGTACTATGGAATAGCAACACTCGACGCGTATCTGGGGTATTATATGATAAAGTAATATCCGTAGTGCTGTTTATGCATGTCGGTGACGGTTATCGCTTACTGTCAAGTGAGCTGTCAGCCTTGTTTGCCATTGCAATTATATAATAAAAATCAGCAAAGAGTAAACTCAGGAGATGTAGAAGCAGATATCTTAATCTTCAGTGGCAACGGGATTTAGATGTGCTGTCAGCTTGTTTATCATTTCTTTACATAAAGAAAAGGAAAACTAAAACAGAATAGATCAGAAAAAATTATATATTCAAACAAACTTACATTGAAGCACATCTTAATAGTCGTTACTTATTTTTTTAATTTACCGCTCATTCGGAAAACTGTCTCTTAATAAGCATGAACGAGCATGAAACATGCATCTCGCTCTTTAAATAATTAATATAATAAATAAGTACCTACGACTTATTTATTTATATATTATTTTTTATATAATGTATTAGTGATAGATTAGAAATATCTATTTTCAGTTCCTTTAACCAAAATGTCTAAAACGACACTACTTGAAGTTGAAAATAGGTACCTATTTTATTAATAAAACCTTCACAAAATTAATTAAGACTACGGTAAAAGCTTGTCAGATTGTCAAACGAAAATAATTAGATTTTGTTGAAGTTTTCAAATATGAAATATTCTGAAATATTTTAGCAACATTTCATTAGTCATTTAATGCTTATTAGAACCGCAAAATTACTCTTGTCCTTCATAAATAAATAAGTAGTTAGATGTTTAGAGTCTTTGATACGATTTAAAATAAACTACTTATATAATATAGCTATATATTTAATAGAATTATATTATATTTAATATTTACTTCATTCATTACTTTCTCTCGTTGATATTAGATTTCTTTTATTTTATTAAAATGATTAAAATAATTAAGAAGTAGTATATTTTATAAAACAATCAGAAATTATTTTAGTGTTGAATAGAAGCGGAGTTTATAGAAAAAATATTTCTTCTCCCTGTCTTATTTTAAGCAAACGAAGTTGAGTGATTCAGTTAGTCATTTATGTTTATGGGAATGTCCTCTGTCTTTCTATCATGCTGTCACTAGAAGTGCATATATTCATGTTATGTTTTCATTTATGTATATATGAAAGTTTGTTGCCTATTATTACTGTGCCTAACGCAATATTTCTACATATTGTTTATATTTTTCTATCCACTATTTTATATAGAAAAATAATATATGTCTAGAAACATAGTCAATTCATTATGAACAATTGAGATTCTGAAGATCAGGAGAGTTTCGTACTAATTGAATGAAAATACAGATATGAGGTTACAACAGCATATTCATCCAAGCGCATAAAAAATAATACACATATCTATAAAGTGTAACAAAAACATCTTAAAAACCTGTAGTAGAATAATGTATGAATTCGTACAGCGCCATCTAGTTGTACTGATATAAAACAATATTGACTCAAATACATTAAATTAGTAAAAAGAACAAAGTTTAAAAAAGTGTAATTACTATAACTTAAGGTCAAAGTCTACAGTAAACAGAAACAAATTAATATTTAGAAAACAAAAAATGCCGTCATCAGCAGTACTTCTAATTCATAAGTTAATTATTATAATTCTATAAAAATATAAATGTTTACGTCACAAACTCCGGTATCCGTGGCAAGATAGATCGTCCCACCTACGACCTCTAATATCCACCGCTTGGCTCTAAAAGGCTAAAATAATCGTACCGCTTTATTATCTCATCCATTTGACTGGCTCGTCACGTAACAGACGTTCTTCTAACGCCTGAAAAACTACGCGACTCAAAGCCAAAATCACTCTCGGAAGCGATTGGAATCCCTGAGCGACCGATCCGTTGGTAAATTGTCCGAGTTCAAATAAAACGCCTACTTTTCAATGCTGTTATACCATCTCTCGCTGGGTTGTGGAAATGCGACCCAATTGTGTGGCTAAATTGAGATATGTTTATTTGTTATTTTTGTTTTGGTAAAAACACACTTAATCATCTTTAGAACTTAGTTACATGTTTAATATATTTTTAATAATGGGCATAAAATTATTTCTTTATGAAGGATAGTCTTCGATGTGTATTTGATACTAAAAAAACAAACCTCTTAATGTGCAGGATATTGTTACATTTTTAAAGTTCCAAATTTAAAGTCAATACCGAAGAATAATGGGGTCGTGCTTTGTTTGTAATTTTAATTTCTCTGTATTTCAAAAACGTTGTAACCGCCATTGTCTCGGCTAAATTAAAGTAAACTAAAGCAATAATATATTTAAAATAAACAAAGTAATAAAATGTAAGTTATTGCAAGATGATAGGAGGACATCTTCTAATAAGAAGAATAAGAATATTTTTAAATGCAAGACTATAGGTTTCTTCAAAGTATCCAGAAATCTATTAAAATATGTACACTAAATTTAAAATATATATTTCAAGAATTGGTTAATAAATACATATGCCGATAAATTATATATATTAAGGTAAGAAAAGGGATACTTGAAAGTCAAAAAGATTTTCATAAAACAAAAAGGAACCTTTTTTTTTTCGAGCATAATATTAAATCACAATGCAAATGAAACCCTTAAAACACTGTTTGCACCCAGAACTGTGTATCTTGTGGCCGGTGTCACAACCACTAACACTCGTGATATATTGTTAGGACACTGGCAACCGCTAGTATTGGCCTCCGTCGCCATTTTCCGACATACTAAAACAGTATCAAAAGAGTTTTACTCAAGAGAAATGCAGGTCAGTTTAAATTGGCTATGAAGGGTGTGTGCCACTGAGCTACTCCATTACAAATATTTTATTAGTTTCTACTCAGTCCTTTTGTGGACTGAGAGTGTCCTTTTTGTGCTTACAAGGGTATATCCACAAAAAGGTGACAATGGCGACGCTTGGTATCATCCATATTTAATATTCATCTGTATGATCTTGTGACTTTTGTGTAGGAATAATTACGTTGTTTATGTAATTCAAATGTTTATGTTTTAGTACAGTTAAAATATTTAGGTTTTTTTTTATTTTAATTTTAATATTTTAATATAAATATAGTTACATAGAAATTACGTATATTAATCAACTCACACACTTAATAAGATCTGGGGTATTGTAACTTATGTGTGATGTGCATCAGTACTTTTGTATATACACGTTATTAACATCAATTAATAATACGTATTAAATAACGACTATCGCCATATACAATAAAATCTTAGGGTTTGAAGCAATTTTTTTTTTACAATAACGAACAAGATAATTGCCTGAAGATAAGCGGTAACCGTCGCATCATCTATATACATGAACAGCACTACGGACGACGTGTTAACTTTTGAAGCCCTTGAAACCTATTATGCTTTGTCATACTAGAAGACTAAAATATCTATCTAAGCCCCTAATGTCGTGTTCGGATAATTACTCATGAACATAAATTGAAACAAAATTGTTTTTGTTATTGATCAGATTTGAACCAGTAGACGGCGACTGAAGGGGTAAATATGACTGAAATCGGTGTGACTTAAGCTGGGAATCGCTCCAGGTTTAATTAATTACAATAATTGCATAACAACTTCCAACTATAAATAATGGAACAAACAAAAGAAAAAGACTATACCTACATATATAGCACAATGTGCCACGAATAGTTGCAAGTAATATAACATAGGGATGTTGGGAATTATTTGGTCGTAAACCTCCACTAAATCGTACCGCACGCTGCGGCCGACTTTTGCAGAAGTTTTAAGAAAACTTTTCTCGTATATTGATCTGATATATATTCAGTAGTTTTAACAGCAAACGGAGCGTACAAATCTATGCATTACTAACTGACTTTTGGGCATAGTTTAGAGAAATAATATGTAGGAGTAGCATTGATAAAATTGCAAAATCTTTAAATTGTAATGTATTTAAGCATTCTGTTACATTAGAAAAAAATATGGATGAATATATGGTAAATTTGGATGAAATACATTAGAAAAAAATCTAAACCAAAAATATCAAATACATATCTTTAAAGTTAAAATCATTTCTACAGGAAATAAGTAGGGAGTTGAAATGATAAAATCAGTCGACGCTATGTACGTATTCGTGATTTGTTTACAGATGGCGGTTATATGAATTTGTGCATATGAATAAAATTATAATAGCAATAGAAAAGGATTCTATTGTTAATTGTAGAGTTGTCCGTGACTGGTAAACTACTGGAACGTCGTGGGTCACCAATTTAGTACCACTAATATTCGGTATAGAATTTATTATTTAATTTCCCTTTCCCTGCTGATGCCAGTATCTTATGTAAAAGTTAATGTTAGTTGGATTCTGTTATACGCATTTAGCCTATCATTTGGGTCGTTGTGTGTGTAGAGACCAAGACCAAAGGACCGAACACTACATAAATTATAGCCGCTAAATATTTAACACCTTCTTATTATTATATTTTTTTAATATATTCTATTCCGATAATATAGTGCGGATAACTACTACAGTCGAGAAGAACTGGCAGGAAACTGACTGGTACTTTATTAAAATGAAACTTAATTATCGTAAATAAATTACTAATCATCGCTTCTAGACAAGACGATTTGAAGTTAAAGACGTGAGCACACTATCTATATATATTTACTAAGTAAAGTAATGGAATAAACCAATCATTTTATTATAGTTGTATAAAGGTAACACGATAGTGGGTCAACGGTCAACCTTCACACATGCTATCAATAGTACTGTAATTTGCTCCTATTCCCAAGTCCCGACCTGAGGCATGATATGGTATAAGTCACAAGTGTTGAGTTTTATGCAATTAATTTAAAAATAAATATACGAAAAGTTTTTTTATATACAAAATAATAAATTAGGAAAAACTAGTAATGACGAACACGGTATATTATTTATTAAGGCCACGAAAAGCTAGACTTCTATAATATATTATTCAAATAATATCTTATTCCACCGAAATAACATAGACAGATATCACTTTAGCAAAAGACGAACATGTACCCCACATGTGGGACTTTTGATAAGGTGATGTCCGTGGATCACATATATAGGCGACAGTTACGACTTACCGGCTACTGGCAGTAGGGTAGTAAGTCATGTTTATCATTTCATTTGCATAAAACAAAAACTATCGCTACATCTCGTTCTCTATACCACCGTGCAGTAGCGTCGTCCGGTCGTCACTCAGTGGAACTGCCCCATTATGTCCCAGCCACACATATTGCAGTACCGATTCTTTTACAAGTAGCACAGGTTATGAGCGGAATTGCCTCTTCAGATGCTTCTTATCGCATTTAAAACGACTATTTTCTTTGGTACCCTGCGCTGAACGACGTTTAATAATTTTACAACGATTTCAGATGTAGAAATGATTCACGTATACTTTCAGTTTCAGTTTTAGAAACTATGTGATATTTTTTCGTACAGTTTGAAATGTTGGTCTAGTATTGTTTCATTGGTCGAAAATGGGAGACGATGCAAAGAGCACTTTGAACTAGCGGGAGGACTCAGAGAGCGGCTGAAGGTCAACTTCTGCATTAGGGCACCAGTAGGGCTTCGAAATGCAACACTTTTTTCAGTAGATGTAGATGAAATTTGAGGAAAAGAGGCATGACTTTTTAGACTTCCGGAATGGCAATGTATGAGCAGTACCACAAGCGTCAGATTCTAATGTGATGTCGATAATGCTGTTCATTTATAGGCGATGATTACCACTTATCGTTAGGTGGGCCGTACCTTGAACCAATTCCAATTAGAATTATTTAAAAAAAACTTGATTTGCCTATGTTTTGCCGGATATATTATATTCCTAGTGGCATCTCTCTGATTATTTAGTTTTACGACCAACTATTTAAAAAAACCACACACACTTCAACAACACCTTTTATACAATATCATTTAAATCTGGATGTTAGACAACTTAGCTTGTTAATTGCCATCAAGTGCGCTATTTTGTTTGCCATTCCATTAACATATATTTTTTAATTTCAGGATGTGGCTAGTGGGCGCAATGGCAATGCTTTGCGCAGTATCTTTTAGCGTGTCGGAGTGGCGATGTCCAGAGTTGAGCGCGCGGCCAGCTGCTGAATGTTCCTGTGATTTACCGCACACGTTGCGTTGTGCTGGTGACCATACTGCGCTACAGGTATATATTTCATTGACCAATAAATTATTTACATTTATATTCCTGTGACAGCCTCAGTTGTTTAGTGGATTAGGACACCGCTTTATTTCCGATGCTGGTGGGCTAGATTTCTTGCATTGTAAAAATATTTTGTATTCATGAGTATGATTGTTTGTATTGGTCTGGGTATTTTCTGTGTGTACCATATATGTATACCCAAAAAAAGTCTATCTATCAGTTGTTAGTTTCACATGAATACAGTAGTATCCATAACACAAGCTCTGAACAGCTGAAATATAAATTAAATTTGACCTGAAGATACATCACGAGGAACGATATAGGCAATATTTTTTTTAGTAGCCAGTATCTTTTATTTTCCGGTAAATATAATAAAATCTATTACATATCTGAAACTATTTGAGGTTAAATTACGGGTACCTATAGTTAACATTATAAAGAATACCAAAACTGTAACTATCAAAGAATAGTCTAACAATATTAAAGCCCCAATTTCTCAAACAAACGCTTGCATTCGAGGTTCGAATACGTCGTTCCAAAATCCAGCACTTTTGTGGAAAGTATCGTCAGTTTGACGACAGGAAACAACAAAAAGAATTGAAACGGTATTATTGCGTATAGCCAAACGATATTTACGAACCCGTATACGTTCAGAGCCATCCCATAAAGGAAGCTGACCGTAAAACAAACAGCCGTTTCCATCACGGCCACAAACATGGATTCTTGATGATATTTTCCTTAATTTTGGATATAAGTCTTATGGAAGTATAAAAAAATACTTTATATTTGAAATTTTGTATTTAGTACACATTAATAATATAGTTAGTATGATCTCAATAGGAAAAAAAATATTTAAAAAAATATTTTTAGCAATCTCGACGTTTCGACTACTTTGGTTGTGATGTGCCGACTGGAGTACAATGCCGTTAATTTCGGTAGGTGTCAGCAGTTTTTCAAATATAGTAGTTTGTGACAAATATTATGGAAAAATGAGAAAATTCTTTTAAAATATCAAAATGAGTAAAAATAAAAATATTTTGCCAGAATGATTGATGAATATTTTGACATGATTCTCTTCAATCTGATGTTAATAATTTCTTCAAAAATACCTATTTTGTTGTTTGTCAATATAGATTTTTTTTATAATATCGTTAGCGTTTATTTACTTCTTAATATGAATTTCCGTTTGATCTCCGATCTCATTTAAACGAGGATCGAATTTACGATGGCCTAAAGTCGAGGTTTGAACCGCTGGTGGTCCCATTAGACCGAACTCGTATCTGTCAGGCAAAGGAAATTTCAAGCGGATAAGCCGTTAGAAAGTTGAGTACTTTCTGCTCTAGCCCTTATTTTCTATAACGAATAACAATATTTGGATAGTCTGAAAAAAGTTGTTATAATAGACGTAACTTTATATTGTGGAATAAAATAGTAAATTATTACAAAAGTACCTACTTCAATTCATCATCTGAGAAATCTACTGAAATTCGTGAATATCGTAACTAATATTATCATTTCCGAATACTCTTAATGTATATCTTCGTTACATTTTCCCTCTAATAATCGGTCAAAGGCACTTAACAACACGGCTATACAGTAAGACGTTTATTGACGTCGAGATCGAAGGGTGTGATCAGTCGGACCCTACTCAAAGTCCAGTCAGCTCGCGCAGGTGTCAATCGATAGCTTTTGTTTACGAAGCTTCTGAAAGACGAGTTGTGGTTGATTTACCGCTCTTACCATGAGTTTTACCTTGACGGTGATTTACTGCGTTTATGTCGACTATAACTTAGCTGGTTTGACAAACAACAATTGGGTTTACTAGGAAAATAAAATATGAATTACCTAGTTTTCATACATTGTTACTTGCTTCATTTTGTTCTATAATATTTTTATTGTATACCAATCCGTTCCATTCGAGTTTAATTAGCCGGGTTCCACCTAATTTAATTTAAAAAAAGTTATGGTTTATTAAAAAAAAATTATGTATACTGCTTACATGAAAGTATCTTAACTTTTCTTTTATTTAATGCTATTGCTCGCGCTTCAGATAACATGATATTATACAATCACGATATTACACTTCACACATACTTCTATAAAACAATATTTTTGCAAGTACTCAATAATTATACTACCATACTGCATTCTATGACATGAAACATAGAAATGTAGTGAAAAATAAAAAATAATCGAAGTCGAATCGAGTATCTATGAATACCTACAATATAAAACATTAGGCCTATTGAAGACAGTAATTTTTTTGTAACTAATCTTTTTGATGAAATCGTTCAAGAAGGTATACATTATATACAGTACAATATGCAAATTACAGGACATAATATTTTAGTCCTCCAGAATAGCAACGTAAGATGTTTACGACGTTAGATTTTAAATACAGTTAGCAAAATGTGGGTCCACATGGGGCTAGTAACTAGCTGATATTTAACATAGTATTGCATTTACCCCATTTGGCATTAAAGTTATGAAGGCATAACATTATTAGATACAACATAGTAACAATTCATTTTGTGGTTCATCAGGCTCATTCTCATTTAATACCGACATTTCCTTTCGAACCGACTCTGAATTATTTGAATTACGAATGCGGTATAATTGTACTAAACTATTTATATTCCCTTAAACTTTCTAACTACCATAAAGTTTCAGCAATCTTCAAATACGACACATTAAGTTCTGTAGTATTTGATTGGTAGACGTTTAAACAAACAAACTACATTAATTTAAACTAACTCGCAACTGTGTATCAATCAAACCGGAATAAACTTGAAATGTTCATATAAATTACACATGTAAATTGATTATTGATTTCTCTATGAGACTCCTGAAGATTTGAGGTATGTGTAGGTTAATGCCTTAGCACACGAGTCGCAGCGTAGTATACATTAAATTAATAAATATAATAGCTTAATTTAAAAAATATTAAAAAAGCAAATAAGTTCCGGAACTGATCTTGTCCTGTACTGATACCCACAGTACTAGTACAGTTCAATGGCTTTATTTTAATATCCACTTAGTAGTCTGGTCTCATTCAAATTTATATAATTGATGGTAAGCGGGAAAAATAGCCTATATATATGATCAGTACTACAAACAGATCAGTAATAAATACAGTATGTATTTAGAAAAAAATAATAATACTAGTACCCAATATACAAGATCTTTTTACTTGGACTAGGTGAAGGTGTGTGAATTGACCGGAGTTACTATTATTTTGTAAATAGTAGATAATGTACATAGTAAACACCAAGACCGATACCTTGTTTGTATCGCTCTGGGTGTACTAAAATACTTAAGTATTTTAGTAGACAAATAAATCCTCTCACAAAATCGTATTCGCAACCATCGGAAGTATAGGTGGGCTGGACCCTCGAGGCTGTTATAAATAATAATAAAATAATAAAATCTAAAATATTATTTCTAGATAATCGGTCGCCACCTTCGAGAGCAGAAGGCGCGAAACAAAAACAGCGCTGTATCACTACTGGACTGTGCTTTACGAGGTGTTTCGGCGCTGTCATCAGCTTCAATAACTGAGTTGGCCGGCGTTGGCTTACATGGTCTAGTCATATCTTCGGGAGATATAAGAAGAGTGCAGCAGGGTGCATTCAATAGTGTTTCTAATACTTTATTAGCTTTGGGTAAGTAAATATTTTAAAACTTCGTTTCTTTAAGGAGTTATTTTTCATTGATTTCATTGTATATAAAGGTTAATTTTAAAGTTTCACGCCTTTTACTTTATTGAAAAAAATAGGTGCTGTTGTGCAACATTTTTTATTCATGCTTTGCTCCTGTTGTTTGCAGCGTGCATTTATAACATCCGGAATATGCAATGGAATGCGTGAAAGAATTGTACTACAGCATCATAAGGATTGTTATAGTCCCTATTTCTAACAACATCACGAATACTCTTATAGCTTAATAGTAAAAATATAAAAACCGAGACACAGTTGTAAAATTACTGTATTCTGTACGGGATTGCTAACGTATAAAAGATATCAAGCATCTCAGTATCCTGTGATATATCATTTTTACATCAGTATTTTTATAACTACATACGGAAATTGAATGAAACGTGTTTCAACATCCGGAAGTCCTATTTAGGGCGAGTACGATACATTCGATACAGCGTCTTGCATCGCACTGATATCCTGTGATAACCATAGCTTAGCATCTATAAATGATAGTCGTTACTGCATTATCTAGTAGTTTACCTAGAATTTATAGTTGTATAAATAACACACAATAACAAAGAGATTTTAATGTTGCCAATAGATATAATGTGAGAAGATTAAAGGTGGATTACACTAATTACGTTAATTTGGTGCGGGTTGGAGCATTAGTAGATTTCTCTCGGGGCCAATGCCGTAGTCGCGCCGTGAATATCTTGGATACTCGATGTGTTGGAGCGATCTTACTAATTTGGTAAAATGAGGGAAGAAATAAAATTTGCATTTTATTTCAGCATAGTTAGTTGTACTCTCTGTATCTTTTGATATATCTGAAAGTAGATAATATTTCCAATCTTAGTAATATATGTAATATTATGTTATCTGTGGTAATATTATAAATTTGGAAGGTTGTGAGTGTGGATGGATGGAAAGATGGATGTTTGTTACTCTTCATCATTGCATAGTATAAAACAAAGTCGCTGTCGCTGTCTGTCCGTCCCTATGTATTCTTAAATCTTTAAAACTACGTAACGGATTTTGAAGCGGGTTTTTTTAAATAGATAGAGTGATTCTAGAGGAGCGTTTATATATAATACATGTACAACTGGCCGAAGCCGGAGCCAGTAGCTAGTTCACGAATAAACTACTGAATGTATTTTAATAAAACTTTACAATACATAGCTGATATGTAAGAATAACACGTAGGTCATAAATTTCTTGCGGGTGAAACTACAGGCACAGGTACAACATATATTAGTTAGTAGATATGGAAGGCAGGACATTATGACGTATTTTTAGGGAGTTGTTTTTCTATTGTGGATAAAGGTGATTTGTGACACAGATTATGTATATTGTTTCAGGGTTGCCAAATAATCAACTTCCCACCGTACCAACAGAAGCATTGACACGTCTGTGGCGTTTGGACCGATTAGATTTGTCCAATAATAAGATACACATACTAGAGTCAAATTCATTTAAGGTATTACATATTTTCTAAAAATTTTAAATTATCTTTTTACAGTAATATAAGCTAAAGGTCATAACCTAGTGGTTTACTACGCCGAATTACACCCGAGAGGTATTGAGTTCAAATCTGATAAACATAAAAAACTATATGTTCATGTTCAATTAATATTTCTAACTCACTATTCGGTGAAGAATACATCAACAACCCTCGATCGATCACTGCCACGTTGGATTCAAATAGTATAGTATACCCAGCGAAATATGTCAAGTGTTGCGTTCACCACGACATCGACGCCAGACTGTGCCTTTTTTTACGCTATATGGGATAATAGTCGTGAACATACATACGTTCATAACGTACGTATGTTATTTAGGCTATTAATATTAAAATAATATAATAACCTTGGACTATTCACACAGCGCCATCTATTCCTAAGCTAATTAGAGCTTGTGTTATTGGTATTAGGCAACCGATAGACATACTTAAATACATATACTCAGAATACACAGACTAATAAAAAATATTGTTGATTCATAAATATCAATGTTTACGTTGCTCAAGAAATCGAACCCTCGACAATCAAGTAAGACGGTGCAGTGTGTATATGTGTGTAAATCGCTGAACCACCGAGGCCGTTAAGTTTTATATACATACTTAAAATATTTGTCTGCTTTTATTCTACAGGGCATAGGAAATTTAACATACTTGGACATAAGCGATAATCAGCTGACCGCGATATCTCCTGAGGCCTTCAAACCTTTAGTAAAATTGTCTGTGTTGAGATTACGTGGAAATGTACTTAAAGTTTCTACTCTGGTTACTCTGAAGGTATTGTGAATTTTATTTATTTTATACTAGTCGTCAGGTACCTACTTAGTCTGATTATTTTTGAGATAAAAGATTGCCTATGTCTTTGTGATACAATGGTTTTTTTTTTATTAAATTTTACTAAGATCAGTTCCGTCGTTTTGTGCAAAAAGTTAACAAAGAGACAACAAATAGACACACTTACGAATTTATAAAATTAGTGTAATATATAGATTTTAAACATATTTTTTTTCTTCTATACATATTTAAACATAACAGCGTTGTTAAGAGCATCGTGACCCAGTAGTTTAAATATTGTGAATTCACATCTGACCGATATCAGATCTTTAGGTATCATCGATAGCAAATCAAATAAATAATTATGTGTAAGCACAGACTATAGAAAAAAATAGACAACTTACACATCATTCGTTTCTAGCTTCATCACTACTCTGAGATTGGGGTTTATTCTCTCTGCCTACCCTGCATATGATATGGGATGATTATATTATTATTAATATTCTAGATTATTACATAATTAAGGCTAATATCATATAATATAGAGTAATCTAGTTTCTAATGTCTTATTGTGTCTACGTTTGTATTAAACTATTAAGTGAAAAATTGATCTATGTCAATTGAAATATTTTTTATATACTCCAAAAAAGGAAGTATCTCCGAAGTTTCACGTGGAAAATGTAATTACTGTACTGTAATTACCCTATATATTCAATAAGCAGACAGAGGAGTATAGTTAATTTAAAAGACCATGACTGAATTTGAAAGACCATGTTGGGCGCCAATAGTATGATATTGGCGCCCAACATGGTCTATTACTTAGCGACGGATTTAAATCAAGGTTATTGCCAATGCTGGATATTGACGTTAAGTTATTACTTAACTTCAATATCATATAATTATACTACTTGAATAAAATATTATATGCTATATTACTATAAGCATATTTTCGATTCTAGAAATCATTCAATCATATATGATTTTTGATAGCTCTAAAACTCATGAAGTGTTAGTAATTATTAAATATTGTGGAAAATTGTCTATTTTTGTAAGTATGTTGTTATAAAATATTAGGTATTCACTAATATTTTTGTACCATAGTCTTCTTATAATTGAATGACTCATAAATATCACCTGCTCCATATAAAGCCTGTAGCTCCTGCAACTTGTTTCATTCACAAAAGTCTGTACCTATTTATATTCATGGCATAATATATTACAATGTATGCAGGTTAGTTAAACCCCCGCTTGAACATTGAATTGAAATCAACATCGTTTAATGCTGATATTGAAAATGCTCTCAAACCAACGGTGCTGATAATCGCAACAACCCTGTTTTCGACAATACGTACAAATTACTTAATACGTTTTCTTTCACAGGAAGCTCATCTATTAAAAGATTTAGATCTATCAAGTAATGCTTTAGAAGGTCCGCTCGGACCCACAACGGTGCCGTCACTCAGCTATTTAACTACCCTCCAAATATCTGATAACACATTTGCAAGTATACGACGTGGGGCTCTATCAGGTATATTTATTTTTATCTTCTCTTGTTCTTCAATTTATTTTATGTCATGAATAATCATGACCACGATTATTTGCATGAAAAAATGTTATGAAGATTAAAATTTAAATTAACACAGATAAATGCAAATTATTAAGGAAAAAGTAATGTTAATTTCTTGCCTCATTGTACTGTTCCTGTATAGTGTTTACTATATATAAAAGAGAAATTAAGGATTCAAAAGACAAATCTCATATTTCATCATTTAATTAATAATTTAAACAGATTCGTAATTTGAGCGTACTCTAATATATGATAGTAAGAATTAGATAATTAATACACATTTTTAGTTAATACTATTAAACACTGAAAATTATGATATGGAAATGATGAATGTAACTGTGAACTTCTTTTATTTATTTATCTCAATCAAATCAAAAATAATTTATTCATGTAAGACATTTTAGCCGCTTATGAACGTAATTTTTTTTGTATTAATATTTTTTCCCTGGCGTCCAGTATTCAGATTCAATTGAGAAGAACTGGCAAGAAACTCAACTGAATTTCTTTTTTGTTAAAGACATTTTATTTACAATATATATTTCATTAATATGTTTGTCCTACAGGCCTAACCAATCTCACGCACTTGATTTTGCACAACAACCAAATAGATGTCTTGGAGGATTATGCATTCCGGCATCTAACAAATCTAACACATTTGGATTTGTCTCATAATGAAATAGTTGCAGTTTCAGGTAAGAAACACTATATAAACTATAGTGGATATGATCACTGAGTATTGTCAGATAGATAAGAAGGTATAACATCGTAGTTCCGTAACCATTGTCATGTATGAGACCAAAAATTTTCACTCCAGAAACTTGACGCTTCCAGTAGCAAACGTTACGACATTTTCTATTCTGGCACATGTTAATAGAATCAGAATTAAACAAAATAATCCGTTCAAAATTGGTGGCAGCCATAAAATAATATAAATTCATTAACTTCCGTAAAATTATTATTTTAACACCTAATTGAATAAAATATTTCAGATAACGTACAAAAGGAGATTTTGAATACGGTATATGATACTATTATATTATTAATGAAATCTGTTAACCGATTTATTAATTTAAATTTTTGCTTACTGTTTATTATAATTTTATTTCTTTCTTAACGTCTAAAGTTTGTATAACTTTGTGTTTTGTTTGTATAACAATCCTCAAACTTTATAGTATAAAATCTAAAAAGAATGATTCAAATCTGACTGATAGTACAGGCATTAATACATACAAATCGACAGACTGTTCAATGTTATATATTATAATACAATAGTTTAAATTAAAACGAAAACAAAACTAATATTGAATAATTATATAATCGAAAACGAAATTTCATTTACGCTCCAAAAGCAATTATGCAGAAACAATTTTGATTTTCCGCGTCAATATCGAACTACGCGGTCTCTATCGCTGTCAAAAGCTATTAACCAAATGATCCAGAATATTCCATGGATAACATTGAACATGTCCATGAGATGGGGTTTATTATGAAAAATCAGCCAAACGTACTGACATTTAATTTCCGCTATTAAAAATTAGAAATATATCTATAGCTTGCTTATAATACGAACGAAAAATGGAAGAAATTATTACTTTATTTCTTACTGTTACTGCCCGTTTGTGAGTATTTAATTTATAGTGTAAAAAATAGAGATAGTGTAATAGTTTATTAAGCGAACATAAATCAAAAGGTCATTACTTTAAAACTGGCGGAAAAAAACGTCGTGTGTCAAATAAAATTTCTACTTGAGTGTCCAGTAATGGAAACACCAGTAACAAACTGAAAATGAATCCGAGATAAGCCAGTAGGCTTTAGCTTAATGTGAATATTTTGTGTTGTTGTGTTCACCATAACGTCTTCACTTGACAATATCTCTGACTGCCCCAACTTGGTAAACTTTACATATAAAAACAATAGATTAGAATTATAATACATTTTAGGTTTTACATAAAGACCTACATCAGTATCGAATAGATAACTGAGAGAGTTTGTTTCTACATTTATTCCATTTTACATAAAAACATGAAAATCTATTATTAAAGATAAGGAAAAAAAAGGCAGGAATTGATAGATTAGATAATTAACTTAGTACCTTTTTTAACATTTGCAAGACTAAAAAAACAGAGTATTTTTATTTACAATAAAAGACCGTTATATTAAATTGATCAATTAATTAATATTGTATTATAAGTAGAAATGAAGTGAGGAAAATACTTTTATTAGTATAAAAGTGTTTTCCTCAATTCAGCTGTCGGATACATGCTGTAATAACCTATTTCTCATGTATATACGCGACGGTTACCACTTATCTTTATTAAGCTTTATATATATTGTCATTTTAATCAAAAATTAGCTACTATTTAATATTTGAATATGTTTGTTGATTTTATAATAATTTGGAAGGAATTTCATCACCATTAGAGAAGGTCGTAGCGGTAGTCAAGTTTCCGTACCGAATATATATGGTCTCATACTTGCCAATTACAGCGGGATTAAACAAAGTGATGTAAATCATTGCAGGTGCATCACTAGCGCAGCTGACGTCACTATCTCACCTGGATCTATCTCATAATTTCCTGCGATCCCTATCTGCTGAGCCGCTCAAATCGCTCGGACATCTCACAGAGCTGCTCCTCCACGATAATGACATATCGATGATCGATGACGGCGCCCTGGCACAGCACAAGGACCTTGGACGATTCACTATTGAAGGTAATGGGAGGGTGATGATTCGCAATTTAGTTGTGACATACGGCTGTGCCCCTTGATGAACATCGACAATTTACGCAATATCAGTGGAATTAATTTGATTAGTGCTATAATTACTTAGTAAAGTTATAATTAAATCGAAATTGTGTTTATTATAATGGAATGGTTTACACACTTGCATTAATCATGGCGGGTATTAGTGGAAGATAAGGATGGCATGAAGCCCATGAAGCCCCTCGTGGCTGGTTTTAAACGCAGATAACGTGGATGTCGTCCTCAAGTGGTTCGTTGTCTTCATTACTAACAATCCTACTCCATTCTCTTCGAAATTATATTAAATGATATCGATCATTTTTCATTTATAATTAGATATTCTTTTTGATGTAAGTACTCGGTTAGTTAGATTAAAAAGATTAGATTATGTAGTATAAAAAAGAATATTGTTCTAAAAAACACAAGTCGTATGGGAGTAACAGGGAAATAGACCCTAAAATAATTATCACAGTCCGTATAGTATTAGCGAAGATGTTCCGTAGTCTCCGTATGGAATTTTTACCTATTTCTGTCGGCAAGCAGCTGGATTATATTCTGGTTTTGAAAGTAAGATCTGAGGGTATACGGAGCACATTCAAATTTTTCTGTTAATTCGTTTATTAGTTCGTAATACTCATTTGTTTTTAGGTATATTTATTTCCCATGGTACACTCTACCATTGGAAATAAATATATCTGAAAACAAATGAATATTACGAAGTAATAAACGTTAGAACAATGTGTATCAAGGAGGTATTTATCGATATTCAGCTCTTTGAGCTTTGAGTGAGGCGACGGCGGGTACGGCGACTGCGTAAACTCATTGTTAACGTCGAGATGGGACGCCACTCCATGTTATATTGTTGCATGACTTTTACTATTCGCTCCTTTATGCCCTTTTTATTTATGAGCTCTTTAATATCGACTTTCTATGATATTGTTTGTTGTTTTTATTGACAACTTATTAAAATAAGGAGGAAGTAATTTGAGACGTAAATCAGTCATAATATGATTAATATATAAAACTATCCGTAGTGGATTCTGATGGCTCCTTTGTTGTCAGCCCGTTATGGTCTGGTATCAGCCTTCTACATATAATTAGATCGGACGGTATACTCTTGAAACCAATTCCGATCGATTTATATTGCTAAATATCTATATTTTATTACCAGTGCCGAACGGACTCTACCGAACACCATCGAACAAGAACTTAGTTAAATTATGGATAAAATTAAATGCCCAATGGTCGAGAGGGGTTTGTAATTATGATTATAATAAGGATTATTTTCTATATAACTTGATTGCAAAACACGAATGGATGTCATTATGATTGCATCACTGATATTTTTTGTATATAATTTGATTGCTAAACAAGCTGACGGCTCGCTTGATGGTAAGTGGTCACCGTCGTTTATGTACATAGATAAAGAATACTACAGACATCACATCATGTGATGCCACACATGCGGAGTAACACACTACGCATGTGTTGCCATTTTGGAGGACAAGATAAGATGACAACATCCGTACCTTCAAATTCAGCCTAATGCTTCGACCGAAACATATTTTATATAGTAACCTGCTTGGCGTCTGAAATAGGTGAGACTAACGTACCCAAACAGACGACTTCTTACAAAGTCTACTACGTTATTTCAACTCTTAATCAATGCTCACTAAAGTTTAAATTTAGACGGCATCTGCTTATATTACTTGAAAGATTAGTACGTTTATTAGGTATTTTATAATACTGAGTTAAACAATTACTAACAAGAATAAGTATTAATATTGTACGAAGTGTGAAGCGATGATCTTTTTATTTAATTCAGTATTGCTACCATACGTGAATACTTCGGCATCAAGTCATCAATCACGTGGTACTTTACGTGTGACATTGACATATTTTCACGCTATGTCCCCAGTGGGGTGAATAGAGCGCCACTTGTCTACATTGTGACAAATATCATTTACTTCACCCACGCTCGTTTATCATTCCACTGATGCTTTAAAAATAGTGTATCCTAAAGGAAATCTCAGGAAAGCGTCAAGTTATATTCTGTTACAATAGTTGCAGTGATTCGAACATTTTTTTGTAGCATTATATTTTTTATATAACTGGAATGGTCTACCATTTAAAATATTTAATAAGTATTTATAAAATTCACGGCCCTTATCCCAGACAGGGTAGGCTGAGGTTTTGGCCCAAATTTCGTTTACTATATTTGAATGCGTGTGTGAGGGGGCGAACCTACCGACGTCTCTCGGACTATTTTGTTTAGTTACCGTTGTTTTCATTACAGAAGAGTTAGTTAGAAATATACTCGTAAATTGACACACAAAAAATTTCTTCTTCAAATATAGACTCGAACTTTTCGATCTGAGTCCCGGTTATAAATACTAGGCAACTACGTTCTGCACCAATGAACCAAAATCTTAAATTAATTTAATTAAGGTGTAAATTTTAAATTAATTTCACGAAAGCGTGACACTGGCACGATTTTTTTTTATTAAAGTCATTAACAATGCAAAGCGACAATTATTGTCTTTATAAAATTACTCAAATTTGTTATTCTTTCTAAAAGATAAAGTCGGTCTGTTTCAGATAATCCACTTAATTGCGACTGCCTAATGGCCGGTTTCGCTAGGTGGCTTCGGGAAGCAAAAAACCTTTCACAATCGGATAAATCGGATGCGGTGTGCGCTACGCCGCCTCATTTAGAAGGCGCTTTACTGTCTCGACTATCGAAAAACAAACTCTGCGACGATTTCGAACATACAGATAAAAGGAAAGACGATAATAACGATTACAATAAAATTCTGGTCAACACTATTGATAGCCAAGAGAAATTTATCGATATTGAAACGCAAGATGTTTATATCGATAAACAGGAGGGGTTGGATGACGATATTTACGATGAGGAACTGGAAATACCGTCTGAAGAAGACCTACCTACTTCTAAATCCAAGGTCGGTATAGTTTTATAAGTTAAAATATTGTTATTGTAGCGGAAAGTTTAATTTCATTAAGGGTCTATGATTTCTATCATTGAATTTCAAACAATGGGCTTAATTTTCACGATTTCACTTTAGGACTATAATATTGAGCTTATTGTTTGAAATTCAAGTATAGAATTTACTTTATCTATTTCTAGAGACGGTGCGGATGTTTACTGTATTCAATATATTTATTTAAATCTGGGAACGTAATATTATTTATATAACAAATTGGTCCCAATTATATATACTTTATAAATTAACATACATATATAGAAAATAATAATATTGCTATAGTGAGTCTAGTGACTATGCTCGCTATGGCAATTCTTCACCGTTACCCGTTATACTAATCTCTGCGGCCAGTAGTTTTCTTTAATGAAGGTTGCTGGGGCCCGGGTAGCAAACTCTATGAAGCTCGCGTTGTGACTCGATTACAGCTGTTACCCTCAGGTTCAGGTTACTCTTAGTCCGGATGGAGTCAACGATGTCCTGTTCCTTTCTGTGTGTGCGTTCATATAAATCAATACAGGCACTTAATTTAAGTTAAATCTACTGTAAGTTCTGAGTAGTTTGAAAGGAGAACTGACAGGAAACTGGACTAAATCTTTTCAAATAATATTACTTGAGTATGTATTTGAAATATTCAGTGGCAATATTGTTTTAGGAATTGTATACTTGTCTATGGTGAGCTATCTTCATTTACATTATATATAATGTAAATGAAGATAGCACGAAATCCATGACAATGACAGTGCGAATACAATGCTTTGTTTGAACTTGTGATAACTAACGGAACTTTATATCACTTTGTTTGTATTTGCATCAGTAACGGCGTCATTATGAAATTTAGTATGTGCTCAATTTTTTCATATATTGTTTATTATATATTCGAATTATTGAATAATGGATTTTTGTTAATATGACATGTCCTCGTGTGAAGAAAACTTATTACGAGTAGATTGGCGAATAAAAAAGAAGTATGAATATTATTACATAATGTATTAAGATAATGAAATAATTGTACTTAAAATTAAAGTTATGACATATATTTTAAATACAAAAACTTGTAGTTTTTGAGTTAATGCCGTTTTTTTATTAACACGCGTTATATCTGTAAATATACCACATGAAATGATCAGATTGCATCGATTCTACTCGTGCTGAAGTAACTATATATTATTTTTAATGATAAATTTAAGAATCGATTAGTAAATACCACGATTTAAATAGTAAATTTAGAGTTATAATTTCTATTTATATTATATCACATTCAAATTCGTTGATAAGATGGAGTATTCCAATAAATTATAATTGTTATACCTACATAAAATTAATTCATCCCTTTCTTTGTAGGTTCGCCTAACAGACGCCTGGTTCGATGATGAAGTAGTCCACTTAACCTGGTCCATAGACCCACTTTCAAATAACCGGTACAGATGTACAGGTGTGACTGTATCCAGAGCTGGTGGTATACCCAAGCACGTGGCCTGTCATAGGGCTGCACCTGGAAATGTGCTGTTGAGAGGATTGAAACTCGATCCTATTGATAAATACACGTAAGATTTCTATATTTCTTTGGTCTACATTTATTATCTCTATATAATATACATAGAATAATATAGACTGATACAGTAATAAGTACTTTTAACGCAACATAATTATACAAGTAAATTATTTCTGAGAAAATCATGTTTTTAATGTCTACGTAATCAATACTTACAGTAAGTGTTTTTAGATGTTGACATTTACGAAAATTAGCATTTGATTTATAAAATAAACTAGATAGTATATGAAAAGTTTGTAAAGATTGGAAGTATTAAAATTTCATGAACAATCGTTGAAAAGAATCATTGAATTAAAGATGTAAATAAAATCTAGTTAAATAAAATTCATCAAAAATCAAATTCACGGTAATTAAAGTAAATTCAACACTGATACTCGGATTGATGAACATTATGCGTTTACTGTTATTTCAGTAATGCTAATAAGTACATCCGATAGTGTTGATTGGAAGAAATTCCTATATGACCCATATAGGAATTTCTTTCAACCAACACTACCGCACTAGGTCACTATTATCTGTAATTATTTATCTTTTCTTATCCTTTGCTTTGCGATTGCGATTGCAAGTTTACTATAGCAATTTGCATCTTGTGTGAAAGTAGAAATATAGAGGACAACAGTATTAATATGATAACATTCTTTCCAGATTTTGCATAGCTCTTGAAGAAATGGATAGTTCAGACGTACCTCTATCTCTTGTATTAGGCTGTGGATCACCATTGTTGGTTAGGCAAAGGGCAACTTTTGCTACCACAGCTCCTATCGTCATCACCTCTGCGCCGAATATTCAGGAATTTCGGTAAGAAAACTAATTATAGCAACGCAGTTTTAAAGTAGTAGACTGATTTCTTTTAACTACGAGTTAGTTTTCTAACTTACGAGTATTTTGTATCTGTATGCCTCTTTTTATTCTTGCCTTTATCGCAGGTTAAAAGCAAAATCATATTAATTGAATTGTCCTAAAGCATGAGAGGAATACAGCATTGAGTTTCTACTCTCAACTAGTTCTTTATAGGTAAAAAATTTTTCGAAAGATTATCCATCCGCTGAGCAGGTGGAAACTAGGATTCTTACTGACTAAGCAGCTAAATGGTGTATCTCCAGGAGTATTTTTTTAGTTATAGGGTCACGTTAACATTCTTTCTACCGTAACTCCAACGGAAGGTATTCCCAGATTCAAATTCTGGATCATTGGGATTCAAGTCGGACAGTAAAGTATTATATAAGAAACTATTTAATATTTATGAGGCGCATTTCAGTAATAACTTAAAATGTTTGTTTCAGAGTAACAGAAGTACGCTCTAATGTAACTACTGATGGAGTTTTAACGGTGCTAGTCTCAGTTTCGGGATTGCTTCCACGATCCCAATATAGTATACCACGATCTCAAAGAATTTCTGAAGCCCGGTATCCCCTAACCAATTGTTATGTAGAAATCGCTGTACTATCTCAAGGCTCTTTGGTTGCTCAGAAGGACATCCCTTGTTTAACAACTTTGCAAATTACAATGGAAGGCTTTATGAGGGGACCTTACGAAGTATGTGCGACCTTAACCAAGTATAGAAAAACAAATGGAATGGAACCAATATGCGTGGTTCCACAGCTACTAGAAACAGGTTCTTTGGAAATGAAGGGCGGTATGAAAAACTTGAATACAGCATTAGTTGGCGTGGCTCTTGCGTTGATGGCTATTGTTGTGGGCTTGGTATGCTTTGTGAGAAAAATGTTGCGGAAACCAACGGAATTTGAGCCGCATAGATGTTTTAGGCAAGAACCTGTGCTTGAGGAAACCCCAAGAGCAAGTTATGTAATGTTGACAGCGACTTCTAAGGTGTGATAGTTAGATGATGTAAAAATTTACTCTTTTAAAAACAATGATGCAATAAAAGAATTATATAATGAAATCTTTTTATAGTGTGGTACTATATTAATATAATTGAAGAGAAGTTTAGAAAAAAGGACAGTAATAATGTACTCTATCTCACTGGATACAATAAACGATTATTTGAAGCACTATTTACATCGTTATTAATGCGCAGTGCAAATTTTGCTTACAGCCTGTAACTGGCGTTCCAGCAAGTTGTCAGCTGGTTGTTTGCACATTGCTAGTTTTGTAGCGTCAGTCTTTCATGTACACAAACTTTCGATAGGCGCTGTAATAATTTTAATGTTGGCAGTAAGATTTTGGTGCATCAAAATTGTCGCTGTGTTCTGAATAATAATACATGAACTTTCATATTCTATATGGAGAGAAAGTTTCATAAACACTCTGATATGAGTTCCATTCTGGATAGGATTTAATATTTAATTCTTGTAATCATTCTCAATTAATGATTACATATTAAATATAAGACGATGTTCAGGATTGAATTGATTTTATACTAGTCTTATAATAATTTTAGCTTCTCGTCATATTTTTATTTACTTACATTTAATATTGCGAAATAGTTGGTATCAAATGTTATAATATTCTTAATTATATTCTGCACATTATAGTTTGGTATGAATGACTGCTAACATTTCATTAATTTTTACTATCGTATTTTCTTATTACCATTTCTGTTTAATAACGTGGACATTCGATAATTACCGCTTATAACTTGTAAACAAATGTATGAAGATCCCGTAATGTATCTACTTTTCTACATTACTTTTGGAGTCGGCACCACCTCAACAATAGCAGCCTCTTCATATTTCAATGAACGGAGTCTAATTAACAATTTATATATATATATATAATGAAGTTTAAGTAGGTACATGTTAATTTTAATCTGTTATAGAGGTAAATACTGTGAAACAGTATAATTTAAGTTTCCAAGAATAATGTTTATAAACACCTCTGTTTTGTGATAACATTATTAACTATAATAATGATTTAAGATTTGTTAAACTTGTGAACTGTAGATGTTATCTAATTAACTTGTTCTATGTATATAATGCGAGGCAATGTGCGAATTTTAAGATAAGAAAAGTAATATTGTATAATAGGTTATGTGCCCTTTTAAAGTGCGACAACTTAGTTGTACGCATTATATTGTTATACAGAAAAAGTATACAGTTATTTCAGTCTATCGATTTTCAATTGATTGTAAATAGTGATAAGTTACAATATGAGTTTAACAAATGCCATATTTTGTAATGAAGTTTTGTTTTAAAAATGTTTTAGATTTAAATAGATGTTTATCTATCAGTAGATACATGATTGGATTTTGCTTTGAACGATATAGAAGTATATAATATGTACATTCTTTATAGAAATGTACTTTAAAAAAATATTTTATGACAGTGAAACGTATGTTTGAAATCTTTGCTTGGTTTAGAAGAAGTACGTGGGAGGCAAACAGAACCGGAAAGCTATTTAGTTTTGTAACATTTAATTTCACTAATTATGATATAGGTTTGAAAATATGCATTTAACGTAAGCTAAGTAACGTTAGTGACATTAGATCATTTTAAACTATGTGGTTTTCAAAGTGATTGTAGTACGACCTTTTCGTACTTAAAACTTTTATATCCCCTAATTTATACAACCTTCATATGTATGAAGATTGTAGGACGACGATGTTGTTGGATGAGACGATATGTGTATATTAACGGATGATTGTAAACTGAGATACTACATTGTATAATCGATCTTATATACTAAATAACAATACTGTACTGTAAGTTGGCGTGATAAAGTTCTAGTACGTACAGTGCTCAGTAGAAATACTTACTTTGTCTTACTGGGAAAATTGTTTCCTTGACTAATTGCACGTATCGCTGATACGATTACCTTGGAGTATGTAGGTAACTGTATCTCATACACATTTCCCAATTTAACTTAATAGTTGAAGTGGGAATTGTGTGTCACATCTTAATTGTAATAAATGTTGTTTTTGTTACTTTCTTTCAAATAGAGAAAATAGCTTTTAAGTGAATGACTAAATAATTTTAGTCTGGATAATAAATCCATAGTATAATCTATTTTTCAGACTAAATTCATCACTATCATATTTTATGTAAAGTTAGTTCTGAAAAAGGATTTGTACATAAACCCTTTTTATGTTAGAGAGAATGAAGATTACAATTTACAATGAGCTGGAGTAGACAGCAGTAGTTGTTTTCTTATGTTTACTGTAATAGTATACTATGTTTGATAATAGAGGACAACTCATAGATAGACATAGAGACAGACGTCTCTAAGATTGTAATGTGTGTTAACGGCGTTGATCATCACCACAAATATGCACATTTTTATTATGTGTATATATACGATTTGGGAACGCTGTTCACTCCGTTAGGCAGAGCAATCTGCGGAATTTATTTTTAAGCAAATATTTTAATATTCCTGAATACATGGTTTAAAATTATTCACGATCGATATTAATTCGTAGACATATCAATGTGCCAGGAGTCGTCTGTTTTGAGGTATACAACCATTTTGTCTGTTTCATAAAAAGTATATCAGGACCGTTATTTTTTTATTGTTTCTAAAAACAAAAAATACATTATGAAAAAGAATTGTAAAATTTAAAAAGACCTTTTAGTCGTAATAAATAAACTTGAATATTATTAAATTGCGTTCACGTATTCAAATTTGTTATAATGTACTAACTGCATTCTTTCATATTAACGACTAAAATAGTAAACATTTTGTCTTCTGTGAAGATAATATTTTGATAATATAATATTTTAAACTAATGAATTAACTCGAGGCTCCTTATTCGAATGTTTGTTATTATTTCAAGGGACGTCGCGCGCTTTGTTTGTATTTGTTATTATAAAGTTTTCGTTTTGTAATTCTATAATACGCGTTTTAAGGTAATAAGCTTTATAATGTGTACTTTCGATGCCAGTGTAAATTGATCGAATACTTTGGCCTTGCTTTAATTAGTATAATAATTATTGTACATAATAAATTATTGGTCGCATTATTTTCCTAAATAAAAAATTAACAAATTAATGTTTGTTTCATTGCACCGTATCAGGTTGAATTCCACGCGGCGATCTCTGGAAAGATCTTCGTTCCCTATACCACAAAGATAGCAATTAAGCGTACCGCTCATCTGATTACAGGCTAACTGACCCGACTTCCTACTTATCCTATTATTCTCCACTGGTGCCTAGATAGTGTATAGCGCAGGTAGGACATTCCTTAATTGTCATTAAAAAAACTTTATTTCTTTTGAAATAGACCTTGTACGAAACCGTCAACGTGGATACCTCTCTACATCTATTTCTAGATGCAGCTAACAATGCAACTTGCTTTTTTAGCAGTGTTTTCAATGAAGAGTGAGATACGCCAGTGAAACTACTAAGTATGAAGACATAAACTGCAGCGATTTATTACAAACTGAACAAACCAGTTTATACAAAAGAAAAGATAAAAAACGTCATTTCTTAATTAATTCAAATATGTACATCCCAGGAGGTACCTTATGAGGGGTATAACTTATGTCGCAACATATTTAATAGAGATAACGGTAATCACTTACCATCAGGTGTGGCGCGAGTATATTTGCATTTATGATGATGCATTCATGATTATAAATAAAAGAAACCAGAAGCTAAATTGTATTTGACGAGTATTTCAGCGCAGCTCGGCGAGGTTACTTGTGACCTGCGAGTTGGTAGATACTTTGCCCAGAAGGTAGTTATGGCTATTCAAAAAGGTAATGCTGCCGGTATCTAGGGTACACTACCTTGATTTGTTAGATTACAATGATTGTATTCCTTTATGTGAATAGATGTTAAGAATAGATTAGAATAACCTTATTGGTACAGAAGCAATAAATATATCAGCCGGCCAAAGAGGTACTTATCCAATTGTTGTAACTAATTGGAAAATTAATATTAATTATGTAATCTTTCCATATAAATAGTAAAGAAAACAAATATTCGTTATCTTAAATACGTTATACGAATATATAAAATAGGGGCCCGATAACATATTAACCTACAGTACCGGTAAATCAAAGTACTTTGACAATTACTATTCCTTGGAATCTGTATTAATATGTAAGTTGAAAAAATTGTTTGTTTGAACGCGCTAATCTCTAAAACTACTAGTCGAGTTTGTTTTTTTATATTATTACAATTTGAAAACGGTGAAATCTAATTTTCACTTAAGTTAATACAACCTTTTGGAGCCGAGGAAAAAGTGAAAAGAAGTTACAACTAAGACATCGTATAGCATAACATCTTGTGCTATGTGGTGTGTTTAGGGATTATATATTACTAGCTTTTGCCCGCGGCTTCGCTCACGTTAGTTTATCCCCTTAGGGATGGAATTTATCAAAATCCTTTCTTAGGGAATGCTTACATCATAGTAGCTTTATGAATGCAAAGTCTTAGCCCGATCGGTTTAAAATTTACAAAATTTCATACAAACTTCAAAGTTTCATACAAACCCTTTCTTAGCGGATGCCTACGTCATCTAACATCTACCTGCATGCCAAATTTCAGCCCGATCCGTCCAGTGGTTTGGGCTGTGCGTTGATAGATCACTATGTCAGTCACCTTTGAGTTATATATATTTAGATAAGGGAAACTGCAAGCCACAACTAGCTTTTAATATACGGTAACGATAATTTGATAATGTGTAAATAGGCTATTTATTATTACAGATACAGGATGTTAAGCCTTTATATTTTACAAGGAATAGAGGTTTAACACCTTGGTCCACAATTTATGAGAAGTAGGTACCATTTCTTAAAGGATATTAGTCCAAAAGATTATATTACTTACTCATCTAAAGGTAAGCGATTGCGCCGCCCATATTACAGACAACTTATCGCAAAATTTATCTTCAGCATCTGCTGTATCTCCGCTTGAGAGTATGCCACCAGTACACTTGTGGTGCCAGCGACAGGTTACTGTTTTTTATTATTCTACTGTGGTGGCAGACAAGCATACGGCCCATCTGATGGTAAATGGTTACTGTAGCTTGTGTCCATAGACATGTGAACAATTTCGTCTCAATTGAAATCTTCTATAATAGCTTTCTATATCTTGTGTGGCATTATACAAAGCACATTTTGATAAACAGTAGACCACCTGTTAAAATCCTAAATAACAACATATCTGTTAACAGCTGCTACAGCTTGTACTTTATTACTTTAAAGTTATAAAGTACAAGCTGTAGTTTTATTAAAAAGAAATTTTAATCTCCTACGTAAGTCCTACTCCTCAATCCATTTTCAGCCCTAGCTGACATTCACTAGATTTCATACTACACCTATCTTAAACATTTTAGAAGTTTTCGGCCGAGAGGAAATAATTGACATTTAGGTCCTGGCTCTGGTACTATGAGTTACCCCATCGTGGCGAATTCACCACAAATTAACAATAATAGTTTCCAGAGAGAACTGCGTGGAGCCACCAGTCTCCATTATTAACAATCCCCTTCAATTGCTTGATAAACTTCCGTAACTAGTTTTAACGTACAGCTGGTTCCGGGATTTGACTTCTATCGGTTGAGACTTCACTATGCTATACGTAGAATAAATACATACTATTTAAACAAGACTAATTATCGTGGGTCATTAGTTGATTTCCAGAAATCTGATTAAAATGTCATGAGATGCGCACGAGCACGTAATTTAAAAACGAACGCAAATTATTGTCAGTTTAAGTCGAAACACCATGGCGTTAGGACGTGTCGCGTGTTACGCAATAATTTTGGCGCTATCATGCGCGTTTGTAAATAGCAAAGTATTTACTAGATGTCAGTTGACCCGTGAATTGCTGAAAAATAATTATTCAAGGACGTTTCTTAGTAACTGTGAGTGTGTATAATTTATTGTTTTGACAATGCATTGTTGTTGATTAGCCCGATTGTCTGTCGGCGGGTTTATTATGAATGGTTTTTCCTATAACGTATTGGGGAACACCTGATCTGCTGTTTCAATGTAATGTGAATACCTTGGTTACTAATAATTGTATGAAACAGAATATTAGTTATGTACGTACGATGAATACATAACACTATAATATATGATAATATTTACATAAACGTCATAATTATTAAATAGATATGGTATCCTAATATTATCTGGTGTATGAAAATGCAACCAATTCTATATCTGATTAATTAAGTACTCATAATATAATGTAGTTATTACTGTTGTTAAAATGTTTAATATATATTTTCCCCGGTACATTTGTCGTTCAGTAAAATGCAAATCTATAAATATTTACCTGTATTCTTCGACACTTTAAATTGAAAAGGAATTATAGTAAAAAAAATACAGATATATCCACATAAACATCACATGTTGCTACAAGTTGTAGTCTATCTGCGTATGAAATTGCATTAAAATCCATCGAGACGTTTAAGTTCATTCAAGTAAAATGAACTCGGACATCTGTACAGAATTTCACATTTATATTAATAATAGTATAACTTCGATACTATGCCATAATATCTTTCAGTTATTAGTTAACTGCAACTAATAACTGAAAGATATTATCTATGAACTTCTACAATTAAGTTATTAGTTATTAGGTAATTGGAAAATACCTTACATACGAAAAAATAAACATCAGCATGGATTTCGAATTGTTGTAAATATTACAATAAAATCAACTATCAAAAATTTTAATTTGAAGTTGTTCTAAAGTTAGTGGAAAAAAATATATTTATAGTCTTGACTCACTTGTTTTAACATTATGAGTAGTGAATGATAATTTTTAAAAATTATATTAGATTGATTCGACAAAAAATGTATTAACGTATTTAATCAAATTAATTGAAAATAATTTGCACAAGTTTAAGTTTAATGCGTAATATTAAATGTTATGTGATTAATGACTTACATTTTGTGTTCCGGGTTCGACAAGATAGGTCAATTTTAATTGTAGCATAAAGTAAATACTATATTTTAAACTTACTATAATAATATTGTATAGTAATATTGCATTAATTATTGTTAATACACCTTTTGTGAAACTGGTTATCTTCGATTATATTTTCGTATAACGTCATAACTTGGTTATTGTAATACAGTGACGCCTTTCGACTTTAATAGCATGTTTCTTTGATAACTAGTGGACCGCCCCGGCTTCAACTGGGTATTCTATAAATCTTTGTGAGTGTTGTATATATTAACTTAATATATATAGCCTATGCCAAACTGTATCTTTCAAACAGTCAAAGATTTTCTGCAATTAGTCCCTTATTTGCTTTACTCGTAACAAACTCCACTCTCTTTATAACATTAGCACAGAAAAGATAATTTATTATTATTATTATAGATGATATAAATTAATGTCGTTAATGCCTTTCCACTAGTGATAAATGTTAAAGAAATATCAGTGAAGAATGATGGTATTACGAATTGGGTTTTATTTTATTGAATTCGGTGTCATTTTGTGACAGTCCGTTCCATAATTAAGTAAATGAATTTATATTAATTTCATCAAAGTAAATACGGAAACCTGACCACCAATGTTGGTGTAAATTTGATAGCGGTCAGAAATTGATCACTAGTAGGGAAATAGTAACGCTTCTAGTAGAGGTGGCCAGATTTTGACACTGAATGGTTGTGTGGTTGCGGAATTAAACAAAATAATGAAATCTACTAAATAATGCCATCAGTTTAGATCACGATGGTCTCTATATATCTATAGATGGGTTGTATATGTGAAGAGTGACTTAACATAAACTGCTAGTAGCATCATATTAGTATAATCATATTTTTGTCAAACAAAAGTTTAAATCTTTTAATACATTATATCAATAAAAACTCCATCAATGGAACAGGTTGCTGATAACTTATGAACGAGTAAACATACTATTTATTTAATTTAGCCATATTCATACAATTTGACGTCACAGGAAATTACAAAAACGACGAGCATTCTTAGCACTTCTTAAGCGCCCCTTTGCCAAGCAGAGGAAACTGCACTACATATACTATGTGGTTGTAGCCCACTTATGCATAAACGAAATATCTCCTTTAGAACGTATACACCCTATCCTGAGGAGATAAAAATCATCGCAAGAATATCCTTCAATTCTTGTTCCTGACTAGTCTAGTATGTGGACTTTCAAAATAAGGGCGAATATAATAGGATTTAGCAACTGACAATAGCTCAAAACACTTGATAATAAAAAAAAAATAGCTTAGCATGCGTGTGCTGAGTTCATCGCGTGTGTGAGATACTTCAAGCAGATCCCGGGACTGACTTCACACTGTTTACCTCCTTGCCCAACTAAATCTGATATAATCTGCTAATACACCTTTGAATATTCGTTGTAGTACCTATATAACTTTTTAACGCTATTCGTTATGCTAATAAATATCATTTAAATAAGTTTATAGTCATAAAGATGCGGCATGCCATGGCAAGATCAGCTGTTAGCTAGTTTGCCATACTAATTACATAAAAAAACTTAATCTCAAATAATCAATCGTAATATGTATTATTAAGTTCCATACTACATAAGTCTGGGCAGGTGTTGTGTTGCAAGACATTCTATTCACAACTGCTATATTACTACAAGTAATTTATAGATAAGACGGTGCTATAAAAAGCAATTGATAAATTTATCGTGACAAGTACACTATTCAGTTCTTGGATGTGCACAATGGTAAATTTGTGTTTATAGTCAATTTTGTAAGGTGCTGGTTTAAGTTCCGTTGAAGGTTGTTTTTTGTACACAATCTAAATATTGTACGTGTCATTTTGTGCATGTATTTATAACTCTATTTTGTTAAATATATAATACAATCTTTTTTATTTGCTGATATTTCAATAGGGAAAGAATTTTAAAAACAATTAAGTACAAATAATATATTCTCTTTATAATATTTGTTTAAAAGGTATTGTCCCGGAATAGATGTACCACTTTCGATTTTTTAATTCAATTTGGTCACCTTTCTAAAGGTTAGCACGGTCTATATATGCTTGAAACACTAGGGAAAATTATATTTTGTAATGTTTTATTTTTTAAAGCTGTGTAGTTAAGATACCGATGCAGATAGCCTCAACCACAACATTGGAAAAGGGCGATTCTAAAAGATTTAAGAAAATTGCTGGCGTGTAAGACGAAGAAGTTTTTCCTTTTCAAATTTGTTAAATGTCGCATATATAAATGAACAGCATGGCTATCAAGTTATTCTGTTATGCACTTGATATATCACATTCGTTTCATTGGACCAAGATGTCACGCATGTAATACTATAATTTAAATGTTTTATATTGAAAGAACACAGCTTCCAAAGCAAGCTTAAAATTAAGGGTATAGCACTAGTGACGAGAAATTTAACTTATCGGTAAAAGTTTATTTAGTCACTTAGGCGAATATTTTTATATTTTAATTTCACTGCTCAGTTCAGTTGAGAAGAATCGGTAAATTACTTATTAAGTCGTTATCAATCTCCGTGTACGGCTATAATAGTTATTAGTTATAATGTCAATAATGTAGTGGGTAGGCCTGTCAGTCTAAATATAGATACGTTATGAACGGCACGTTTTTTATTTATCAGAAACCATATTGCATAATTCCTGGGAATTCACCAGTCATGATCTGCTTACTAACATATTTTTATACTCAGCCTATCAGCCTCCACTGTAATCGCAAGCGGGTGCACTATTGTGTTTTCTAATATTAAAAATTAATATTAAATTATTATTAAAATAATAGTACTAATGAAAACATTCAGACACTTGGCTCCTTTATCATAACATATATTTGAATCCTTAAACCGTAAACTTTTTGTATGGCATTAAACTGAAGATGTCGTTTTGTTTATTACAGGGGTGTGTTTAATCGAGCAACACAGTGACAGAAATACATCTACGTTTGTTGTTAAATCGTCGAGAAGGAAGTATTATGGACTGTTTCAGGTAAATGTTCCTATGTTAGCACTTGAAATTTTGAACACGTACATAATTAAAACGACTTTTATAAACTCTACCACGTGTAAAAGTGCTTTGCGTGACCTCTGACTGCCTATTTCAGCTGCAAAGCAGCTTGCTTTGTGATTTCGTTGAAGGACAAGATAAAACAGCGAAATTAAAAGGTGTCGAGGCATGATATCTTAGTCTTCAGTAAAGGCAACGCATAATAACGTGATGTAGCTCTATTCATCTATATAGGGTTATGGTTGCCATTTATCATCAAGTGGCCATCAATTTGTTGCCATACTAATTACATAGCAGACTAGTGCAATGGGTTTGTTAGTCGTGGGTTTGATTTTCGCATTCTATTTGTATTCATGATTAATAACAATATGTCGGTGAGTGATGTACCTATAGCTAAAAACAATATCTATTAGACCCATAGTATAAGATTTACTACGTTTGAAAGTATGTGGTACGATGTGTCGGATTATTTAATTATTTATTTAGCACATTCGTCAGACTAAATATTGTTACAAATATTTTTCTTGTAATTGTAATGTGTAAAGTCTGTGTCTGAATTTATATTTGTTCCGTATATAGAAATAAATTAAAATTAATAGTGAAGAAGCTATATCATTTTACTTTATTTATCGATAAATACCTATTATGTTTTTAATATTGTTTTTCTTTTCTCTTGTTTGCATATTACCTATCTGTATCATATTTATATTAATTTCCGAGGTTGCATGATTGATTTCAATAATAATGGCCTTATTGTAATTATACCTGTGTTCTTTAATATATCGTTTATTCTTTTATTTACTCTATCTATCTATTATTAAGCAAAATTAATATATTATATGTAATTTTGCTTTAATATTCTGTTTAACATTATTTCAGATAGGAAGTGAATGGTGCAAAGAAGGTCGTAGAGGTGGCAAATGTGAAATATCCTGCGAAGGTGAGTATCCATGTTAATTATTATTCACGACTTTTATTCTAGATGGGGTAGTCAGAAACAATTAATGTCGTGGTAAACGTAACACTTGGGCCTGATTGTATTTGCATATCGATTATATCTTGGATTGGTTTGATATCAGTGTTTCCATTACCAGAGAATCAGTCAGAAATATAAATAGACAAGTTTGTTTCGGATCTTATATAAACATTGAAATTTTTTGATGAGATGAGCAAAAAAATTACTATTATTCTGATTAGATTTTAATCAGTTGTATAATATCTATAATCCAAACACTGCATAGCGTAATAGACGACGTGGTGTGAATTTTCCACCGTTTATTATTATTTCTTTATACACTTTTTAGTATTCTTTCATATCTACATCAAAGATATTCTGTCAACCTCCTGTTGACAGAATATCTTTGCCGGTAAAATACACCAAACAAAAACAACTATGAAAGATGATTATCTCTTTTATTGTAATAACTATTCTAATTATACCTATACAAACGAGCGAATGCCGGTTCGCTATAGAAAAGACAATTTACATTTTAAATCGAACTAAATGTCAAACAATTGAACATCAGTCAACATACGGATACAAAAGCCATTATCTACACATATGGGTCTGACATTGCTTACTACACGAAACGATTAATAACAGTGTTGCTTGTTATATAAATGAAAAAATACCATTTGGTGGAAGTAAGTTAATTGTTATCTTACTTACATAGTATAAAACAAAGTCGCCGCCGCTATTTGTATGCCTAGATCTTTTAAATTACGCAACATATTATTTTAATATAGTTTTCAACAATAGCTGATACAGTGATTCAAAAGGAAGATTTATGTATAATGCATATTATATCTCAGGAGAGGCGAAATATTCGAAAATTGTAATGCCCTCGCAAATAAATATTCCATCTGCGTTTCACTTTAAAAAAAATACAATTTATATGTAGTTGATTTGATGCTATTTAATGTACATCATTATGAGTGGATATATTTCTATTTCTAAAAATAGTATATTGTTTATTTAATTTAATGATATCGTTAATTTGTTGTTGTCATTTCATTTGCGGTAGGTTTATCAGTCGATATAGTCCTATATATTATTTTTGTATGATTTAGTTTAGCAAAAATAATGTCTTAAATCTTTGGTATAACTTTCTTTCAGTTCTCTATTTGTTTTAAATTCTATTGATAAACTATGTAGATTTTTTCTTCTTTAAATTATTTTTAGGCATATATCTGCCAATGTGTAGGTACTTAGCATATTATTTAGTTATAATTGAAACTATCGTAATTAATTTATTAAAAATAAAACAGTAAAGGATAAATTTACACATTACTATATCATACACTACCTATGTGTATGATATATTAATGTGTAAAATTATCTGTAACTTGCATTAATTTCGTAGTATTAGGATGGTAGAAGATTATTAAGTAGTAGGAAAACTTCCCAAGTGGGCAACTGTGAAGCCTGGTTAGTTTGGTGTTGAATAAATAAATAATCAATTAATTCACAAACTTGTTTTCTACTTGTATATTCATTTTATGCACTATTCGATAAAAGATCATGCCAATGTAGTTTACATAAAATTAATAAAGTGCAGGTGCGTTTGTACTTAGTGTTAGCACAAATAAGAAAATATTACATGTATTAAGTAATGTCAAAGTTTATTTATCTGACAATAATAATAATAATAACTTTGGATAATTCATACATTGTTATCTAGTCACAAGTTTAGCAGCTTTGTGTTATGGGTACTAGACAATCAATAGAAATACCTAAATGCATTTGTCTATGTATTTAAGAGTTTAATTTAACAAAATGTTTCTCATCTATTATAATAATACAACAAACAATATCTGTTACCTATAAGTTCTTACTTTTACCTATTACATACCTCGTCTGCGCATTAATACAAAATAACAGACAGCACCCGAAAGTGTCACAGTTCAAGGGTAATTCACTGCGTAGTCATTGAGCACCTATTGTATGTAAAATAGCCCTATGGTGTTGATAAATACGGCTCTAGTTATGCGCGATTGATCTAACACCATTTTCCTCGTATTTTTTTCAATGGTGTAATTCTGAATGACCTTTATAGGAGGATTTTATATCAAATATAGATTTGAGAGATTTTTTCAAAGATGTAATGAGTTGTTGTTCAAAATTAAACATGAAATGGTTTTGCCATAATGCTGGCAAAATACCGATGAAGGATAATAGGACGATAGTGAAAACAGATCCGTTAGATCGACGTGGCAAATTCACAAGGAGTTATGCACCTGGTTACCAAGGGAACTGCGTGGAGTTGATAGAACACATCGTGAGAGACCATTAGTGCCCATTACTAAAGATCCTGTTGGTATCACCAATAACACATTCAGTAGTTTGTTTATTGTTTCGATTTCACGGTTCATTATTAATACATCATGATGAAAACTGGAATAATCACAAGCATTGAGAGAGTTTGATACTGTTTCGAATGGAAATAAATCTTGGTAATTGTACAGTTAAGAAATATTGGAAATATTAATAGCTGAATCAAAAATGTTCTGCTTGGACAATCGATTGATAATTGTAGAAAATATTCATTTTTTCTTTAGAAATGTATGAATATTAAATTTTTATTTGCAACGCTGTTGGTTTACCAAAATTTTGAGACAGAAAGAACTCTAAACATATACTTAATTTAATATTGCAATGTTAAAAAAAAAAATCATGCTACCAGATTTGTTTGTTGACTGTCATTTAGAAATAGGTTTTTATTAATTTTTTTTTGGAATTCGAAAAATTTCTAGTTTACTCTATAAATTAGTATCTAATACCAAAATTATACGCTACGGTATACCTATAGGATATCAATTGGAGTCATTCAAAATTGAGTCCAGTAGAGTAGTAAATAATGACCAAAGTAGCTTCATGCGGAGCTCAGTACTTGATTGATTGTTACTTGATTACAAGTATTTAATCGTGTTTATACGTTTTTTGTTGTATCATCATTAAGCCGACCCACGCACGGACCTTTTTAGAAGTCCGTTTAGTATTTGGGAAATGAAAAATCCTACTGCTTAATAAATATACGTTATTACGGTCTCGGTGACCTAGCGGCTTTGTACACTCCCTTACTTCCGATGGTTGCGGGTTCGATTCCTCGCACGGCACAATCATTTGTATTCATGAGTATAATTGTTTGTATCGGTCTGGGTGTGTACTATATACATTATGTATGTATTTACAAAAAAATATCTATGCATTTGTATTAGTTGTCTACCATGCCATAATACAAGCTCTGCTTAGCTTGGGACTAGATGGCGCTGTGTGAATCGTCCTGAGATATTATTATTATTATAGAAGGCACATTAGGACTTTGACACAGAGATTCTATTCTAGAATCAAACTAAAAGAAAATGTATATTTTAGTATCACAAATCAAACCAAAAGAAAACGACTTAGGGAACTAACAATAAAATGTCTAACAATAAAAGTTAAAAAAATATTCGATTATTTCTATAGTAAATCTTTATTATATCAATTACAATTAACAACAAAACCATTTTTTAATTATAATATAAATTTAGATATATATAATTAAAATAATAATTTGATATTCCTTCCTGAATGGTGAATACATTTTTATTAAATGAATATTATTTTTATTGTATTGTTTAATTTAAAACCAAAAATAAGAGATTCTTAAAATGAAATGTATATTTAAGTGTTTAAGTATAATAATATAATTACAATAATAAAATGTTCATAACAATAGTATAATTAAATATTTTAAATAGCTACTTGACCTGTTAACATATTTGAATGTCGCTGCATAAAATTCGTTTTATAAATACAGAATACTTCATTGATATTCATGGTATAAAATATACATAGTCTATAAGATAATTATTAAAAAAAGGCCAAAATATTTATTAATTAAATTTGTTTAATAGTAATAGCACAGATAACATAATATTACATAGTAATAGGTATGTAGTAATACTATAGTTATATATAAAATCATTGTAAGTAATTACTTAATAAAACAATAGATAGTAATTCAGGCAAAGTATTTTCCTGTTTTGTCTTCATTTTAGTGAGGCGTTGTAGCAATGTTAATAGATTGATATTTCCAGGTCTATAAATAATACAAACCGCTAATCTTATTATTATAAAGTACTTATTGTTAAAAAAAGAGATCTTCATAGTCTAGTGTGGTATTATCCTAAATTAGACCCGTAAGTTTATATTTACTACTGACAGTAGTGATGGAAATAAATCAATAACAATCCGAAATTCAAAGTCAATGTCAAAATTATTTAATCATACAAGACACATGTAGTACACGTCATCATTTTTTATTACTATCCTTATCGTCCATTTCGGTTAGCTACTTCTGTTGAGAAGAATTAGCAAGAAGCTACTGAACCGATGTAAATGAAATTTGGTATACAGATAGTCTAGACCGCGAGAAAGGACATAGGGTACTTTGTAATGCGACAAATGGGTTGTCAAGGATTAAAAGGGGAGATGAAAAATTGTATGGAACATTTTTAAAACTTGAAACTTATTTTTTTAGCTATTGATTAAATTTCTTAAATATTACATTCATTATGTATATATTTTTTATGTTATTGTTATTATTTTAACCGGTCCTAAAATATTTTTTAGTGTTAAGTATTTATTTAATATCTCTGACAGCATCATCTGGTTTAATAGTCGTGAAGGAAAATTTCAACAAACACTACGTTTAACGTATGCCACAGTCATTTCCGTAGACAGCACATTATTATATTGGCAAACAGTTAAAATTAGTTTCTATTTACATTTATATACGATTCAATATTCAAAAATAGGTACTTCACTGCAAGGCTATCGTGCTACTGGGATATAATTTTATGAGGTAGATAATGAAGAATTTATTTTGCAGCTCTTTTAGATGAAGACATAAAGGATGATGGTGAATGCGCCTTAAGAGTATTTGAGCAAGAAGGATTCAAGTATTGGTCCAAATGGGACGCACGGTGTAAGGGACATACTTTACCGGATATTGAAAAGTAAGTTTTATTTTTAAAGTACTATGTAATAAAATATTATGTGAGCCTCGGTGGTTAAGCCTAAAAGAAGTTGCATACATAAAACACAATGTCTATACTATATATCTATACATATAATAAAATTGGAGTGTCTGTTTGTAATATTGAAATAACCGTTTTTTACTACATGTATATGAATATATAAATACGGTATATACACCAAAATAACATTTTTTACAATTTTTGTCGGTCTGTCTGTCTGTCTGTTTCTTCCGGCTAATCTCTAAAATGGCTGGACTGACTTTGACGGGACTTTTTTTGGCAGGTAGCTGATGTAATAAGAGTAACTTAGGCTACTTTTATTTTAGAAAAATAAAGTTAAATTCCACACGGACGAAGTCGCGTGTACAGCTAGTAGAGAATATATTCGATATATTATGACGTTAATGCGTATTAATATAAAGGCGTTGGCTATTAATTAGGTTAATATTTATTTAGTTTCGAAATAACAAAATAAATATTTCAAAGCACCTAAACAAACAACCAACATAAATGTTATTTAAGAAAACAAACTACATATTGTATTTGTAATAAAACTAAGTATATAAAACAATTTAAATTAAAATGTTAAATTCAGCACCGTTTTCCTCAAGACTGCTTGTTAAAATTATGGGGATTTTACGTGTTATTATAGATTCTAGTCAAATACATAAGTACTTACATTGCATACAATATATTTAAAACGTACAATTGCATTATACATTTTCGAGGAATATATCACGTATTATGAATACATACATAATTCTTTACTGTACTCTTAAATAGAGTAATACTATTATATCATTAATTTATACTTATATTATGCTACTCGACTTGGCAGACATAGTTCTAGCCAAAAAAAGCAGCTCCAGGTCAAGTTTTTAAGCCATCCAAAAACAATTTTGAAATATACACAAAATTTCAAGCAAATCGATCCAGCTGTTAGTTCGGTGGAGTTAGTAACAAAGACACGTACATAATAATTGTATAAATATATACATGACAATACGTCATATTCGTGAAGAGGTGCTGCTTGTAGGTACTGGTCTGTTCGGGTTGCGGACACTGATTACACTATTTCCTATTGACAAAATTGCAATAGCATATGCTGGTGGTCACTCAATTTCTCCTAAATTTTAATTTAAATATGAATTTGTATTTTTGTAAACATGTAAAAGGTCATTTGAAATGAACAAGAGCTGAGGATCTTGTCAGTTCTCCTCAGCTCGAATTCACTCCGAACTGACGGTAGAATTTGACATAGCATAATAGTCTGTTATAGACCTACAGGAATAAAAATATTTTGAATTGATTTGATATTATATAATGTAACAACATAATAGTTATTAATGTAAGATCCGAAATTCTAGTAAACAAATATGCTTGTTTTATTCATTTTACAGATGTCCAGATTGGCAACATCCTCCACAAAGTAGGATATCTCCTGCGAGGGACAAGAGAACATTAAGAGGCCGACGCTCCTACAGAAGATTTCTATATGAAAGATACAGAACAAACCCTATCATTTAAATTATATTTAGTAGAGAAGTGAATTGTTATATCGTTGGTATACTTACTAATATAAATGTGTAAGTGTATTTGTATGCGTGTCCTCTTGCCGCTTTATGGGCTAAACCAATCAGCGTGAAGTTTGGTATACATGTAGTATCTGAAACTGAAAAGGACGATGTGCTCAATCAATTTATAAAAACATACTAGTACTTTGCAAAAGAAGCCTTATGTATTTGAAATATGTTCTAATTTCATATATAATGTCTTAATATTGAATGGAACTAACCTTGTTACTATTGGACTGACAATGCTAATCTATTTATACTTGTTTCAGTATCTTACAGGGTAGGCAGAAAGGATCAAGCGGTATTTAGTTCCATACGTTTTAATTTCAATTCAAACGGGGATTGAAACTAAGACGCCCATAGTTGAGGTTCGAACCCCTAGCGATCTTATCTGTTGGGCAGGTGTTGGCCTTCCTTTTTTCGCCCAGTGAGGCTATAAAGACTTGTTCGTACAGAGTCTCGTCGTAGTAGAGTTGCTCGTACAGCAACAACAGTATAAAATAGTTCGATAAAAGAGCATTTTACTTAACTCTCCGTTTATGGAGTTTCATCTGATCGAAACGGTTGTGTATTATATTTTCTAGTGAGAGACTTTAAAACATACAGGCTTAATAATGAATATTATAAAAAATAATGTTATTTGGGGAATCTTATAAACGCAATAAAATTTAAAACATTTATTGTAAGAATTTTTGTATGTGGGTTTGTATGCGCTAATATCAGAAACAGCGTAAGTGATTTGGATTCGATGTGATGTAGTAAGCTTCACTCACATTTTTTGTTTTTTATTCCAATCTGTTTGCAAAAAATAGTTACACGTGTATTAGTGGCCTAATAAATAGACTGAGTCGAACTCAAATATGACCGGTTTTTAATTTTTTCGATTATAATTATTTCATTTTCATAAGTTTTTCGATTATAATTATTTCATGCTGTGCATTGTTAAACAAAGTTAACTATATTACGATTATATTGTTCCTGGTTGTTATTTGAAAAAAATAGATTTAAATATACTAATTGAAATATTCTACAGGAATTGTAATAGGATTAATTTCGTGTACTAAAATATAATTTGTTTTAATATTTGATAATATATTGTATGCTAATATAATCTGATGACTAAGGAAAATTATACTAATTGGAGGCTACCCAGGCTTGCCAACCTTAAAACATTTGGCCTCGTACCATTAAATAAACAATCTTATAAAAAATCATATATTATCATCAGAACATAGTGTTTAAATAGTGATGAAATTAAACAGACCGAAGACCAATAATGTAGTAGTTTTACGAGGATTTTTGTACGGTTGGCAACCGTGACGCTTTAACAATGAAATTGTATTTTGTAAATATTAATTTTGTAATTCTGTTAATATTAACGCTAAGCATGTTGTTATACACTAGTATTTGGTCCTTAATCAGAATAATTAAAGAACGTGGAATAAAAAGCTTAAAAACCCGATTGACAGGATCAATATAATCAAGTACTTATTTTCGATGTAGTCTAACTAATGATATTTAGGCGTATCATTGATTAATAAAGCTGCTATAAAATAGTAATAGCAAAACGAATACTTCAGTAGAGTTTCAGTGTTTATAATTACGAGTAAACTGAACAGTAGATACTGTGAAGGTAGAGGAGTATGTGTCCCTATATTTTATCATATGGTTGCAAGTGCAATTAATATAATATTCTCCTTGTAGTATGTAAAATAAATTGTAATTGTTGTGTTGTAACTCTACACTTTTAACTATCTATATGTAAATACGACGGTATAGGGTATAGTGTTTTTTATATTTGTACGTTTGAATTTTGTAGTGCAATTATCGCATTGTTGTTAGTAGATAATAAATTGCATTTAATATGTATAATAAAATGTGTTTTTTATTATTATTTTGATTTTATATACAAATGCCTGTAGTATAATAGTATTTTTTTAATTCTGCAAATGGAGTAACAAACATATGATAACCGTCGTCTATATGAATTGTACCGCGGAGTTTACATTGTCAAGTGACGGCTGAGGTAATGCTTATGCATTGCCATTCGGGAGGACAAAAGTAACATATCTTTGTATCCTGTAATTACGCTGCTATATCTCACACTTTAAATAAAACTGTAGCTTACTATGATTAGTAAGCTGATTGATATCAGCTCGATAGCTTAATAGGTGGGACAAAGGCATCCACGTGCTCGACTTTGTACCTCATTTAAATATTTTTATTTACATAAAAATAAAAATAATTTTCATGTAATCATTTTTGAAAGGAATATCTTGTGGCTTGAAGCGTAAGAAATTCGCATTAATCCCAGTGTAATAGGATTAAAGAAACCTCATGTTATCCAAATAAGTTAGCTTTATAAATCATTCTATAATATAAAATCTTTTACGAACGATGCGAATAGAAAATCCAATGTTCTTGGAACTTATGAATACCTATTTAAAATGAAGTTCTATTGTTACATATAAAAATCATTATATATTGTTCTATAAGTACATAATAACAATATTTTCTGTAATTTCTGAATTCAGTTTTCAGAACTTATATGAGCCCCAAATGAAATGGGAAGGCTAGGCAGAGAGAGAATTTTCAGACGGGTTGTTTGCTGACAATTTCCTGAGGTTTTTCCTGGAAACCATAGCGTGGGGTTTTTTAATAAGGACTTTTTGACTCTTTAGAATATATAAATATTCTAAAGAGTCAAAAACGCGCACATGATACTTCATATCTTTAAAACTATAGGTTACGGTAAGCGTTTACCATCAGATGACCATTCGCTTGATTACCAAGATATCTCTATACTAATATTATAGAGAGGTAAAGTCTCTGAGTTTGTTGTAGGTTGTAGGGGTAAATCTCTGGATCTAGTTGAAGATTCTTTTAGCAATAGAAAGCCATGTAATTTTTGAGTGTCCTCAGCTATATAACATAACGCTATGACTAATAAGAGTGGAGTTGCAATTAAAAATGTTAAACTAATACTAATTTCATTTAATTTAGCTAAATTGTAACAACGATTGCTAAAACGTTTATTGCTTCTACATATATATACACATATATGGTAAATAACGTTATCGTTGTCAATTATGATTTAAATATTTATTTTTCAATATTAGGTATATATACCTCACTCACGCCTTGTTAATAGGTATGTAATTTAACTATTTTCTTGTGGACGAAAAAGAATTAATTTTTAAGTTTTATTTTTAAAATCTGGCTGGAAATCGTGATAAAGCTCTGAATGTAGGTACCATGTGATTTACTGCCGACATGGGAATCTCTTTATTAAACCGTAAAGTATGTGCGACGAGTAATACCAATTGAATTCTTGAAAGCATGAAAGGTAAGCGTCTTTGAAATTTTTATGGCAGATTTTCTTTACTTGTTTCTCTCTCTTCCATTTATAAGAAACTAGCGACTCGGCGCTGACTTCGTCTGGCTTAGCATATCCAAAAATAAAATCACAAAAAGAAGTATTTAATGTATATTTGTTTAAGGTACATCTTACTCGGGTATAATAATAATCTCAGGACAATTCACACAGCGCCATCTAGACCCAAGTTAACCTAGATAAAGCTTGTTTAAGGGTACTACATAACTGATACAAATACATAGACATATATATATTTTTTTAAATACATAGAAAATACTAGACCGATACAAACAATCATACTCATGAATGCCATGTTTGTGCCGTGTGAGGAATCGAACCTGCGACCATTCTAAACCGCTAGATCACCGAGGACGTCAAAATATTAATATTTGATGGTTATTTGAAGATTTTGTTTGATGAAAAATATAAAATGAACAATGAAATACCGAGGTTCGGTAACCGAAGAATGACAAATATTAGATTAAGTGCGCAAAAGAACTCGTATTGGCATTTACATCCAATATATCCCAATATGATTATATTTATATAGATGGAAGAAAATAATATTGATCTGTTTCAGTAGATTTGTTTAGTCGATCGGACTTCCCATTAATATTTTAGTCTGTCTATATTGTTATTTTTATTAATATATATACCTAAATTAAAATAACTTTTGTATTGGAAAGAAAATTAAATACCTAAATAAAAATAGAGTATATTTTTTTTGTGTAAAAAAATTACGGCAGTCTAATGTAAAATATATCAGATTTTTAACTTCAATAATTTATTAGAACATTTAACATTTGTAAATACTAATATAACGATTTTGAATTTTGAATATTAATTTGAATTTTGAACGATTTAATAAAACGAATTAAAATAATTTTAATTTTAAATATTAAATCGTTGTTAACTCTTTAAATTTTATGGCAATAATACGTAAATAAAATAGTTATTTGACCGGAAACAAAATCATTCCATATGAGAAAATTAATAGGAAGAGGCTAGTACAATCTGAGGTAAGTGTTTTCCAGTTAAACTGGCAACCATTAACAATGTTCTCTCAACAAACAAAGGTCTGAGGGAACCAATAAAATTTGCGAATTATAACTTTCCCTACATTGATTTTCGGTGAAGCATGCCAAACAAGGATTGTTTTCACAGAAAATCGGAACAATACTCGTAAAACAAACAATAGAGAGGCCCATTTTGTGGAATTAAACGAATTTAATAATTTATTAGGCACGGAGTTCGTAACTTGAGTTTCGATACAACAAGTTTCGATTCGAACAATACTTTTGTAAATACTACGAAATAGGTAATTACTAGCTCTTAAGACCTTGTTAGCTTAGTGATTTACTACTTTGTCTTGGTAGCAAGATCGTGAGTACAAATATGATTAAGACCAGAATATTTACAAACAAATAAATAACAAGAAATGCTAGCAGTGGCTTCAAGGTTTTCTTTTTTTTATACGACAAATATGAAATGGGTTAGATAGGATGGGAAAGAAATCAAGCGTAATCTAACGAATTCACAAGGATTTACAGAGATGAATCCAGGGCTGACCGAGATTGGTCGACTTGTAGAGTATATTGCTTGCAATGAACTGTATATGTACTCCCCATGCGAAATGAGCTAATGGCACACGTCATGGTAAGTAGTAACCATTGCCTAAATACAGGTACAGCACTATGTGTCGCCCATAGTTTCCCTCATGCGTTGTCAGTCCTGAGCCATGCCATTAATTATACCAATAATGATGCTGAATAAAATGATTTATCCTGGCTCTTATCCGCGACTTCGTCCGCCTGGGAACGAACTATTTATATAAAAAATGTAAAGTAAAAGTAGCCTAAGTTATTCTTTATAAAATTAACTATCTGTGAGAGCAAGTCCCATTAAAATCGGTGAAACCGTTTTAGAGATTAACATGAACAAAGAGAGACAGATAAAAATTTTACAATTATTTTTTATAGATTACATAGTTACTATACTTTCATATGTAATTAGTGAAAAGCTCTGTTTATTTGTTTGCATACATAAATGTTAACAGAAATATGTTC